GAAACAATTACTGAATTCGGCTTTTGTAAGATGCGAAGAAATATACAGATCTCGGAGGGTGTTATTATTATAATTCTTTACCTTGCGAATCAACCCAAGATGTGAGATATAAGTCAAACAAATTTAGACAACTATTACCATTAACGTGTTTCGATATAGTTTTTCAGAGGCCATACCGATATTTTTCAATCGCTTTAAAAGTGATTTTATCCTCGTCTGATCGCTATAAAATTTTCAGCAATGACTGACTATAGATTGAAATTTGTGAAAATGTAGGTTTTAGTAAAATAGATCTGATTACTATGACAACAATAAACAAAAAACTTTGAAATTGATAAACGGTTAATTTTGCGCGATCTAGTCCAGCTACTGAAAATCCAACACCAGAAACTTAAAGTTTGGTGTTTAGCAAATAACCTCCGTAAGAAGTAATAACAAAAACAAAATACCTCTCGGCAAAACCAAAAACCTCACGGCAAAACCAAATACTTCACAGCAAAAGCAAAATAGCTTTGGTTTTGCCGTGAGTATTTGCTTTTGCCGTGAGGTATTTGGTTTTTGCTCTGAAGTATTTGGTTTTGCCGTGAGGTATTTTGTTTTTGCCGTGAGGTTTTTGGTTTTGCCGTGACAGTTGTGCGCCACCGTAGGTATATCATATACGTTTAGACTTACGATCTGCAGATTCTACAGCATCCAGAAAGATGACATCTGAAAAGGAAGAAGGACTTATTATTTCTTACTGGCACAGTGTCAAATAAACTGATAACTTCAAACCTCGTCTCCAGGGTCTTCTCGTTTTCCAAACGGCAAAGGGCAACATTTGTACACGAGAAGACCTTGTGGAAGGGATTGTTGATAAACTTAAGTTTCTTTTCTATAGTTCGTCGCTTCTTTTGGTCACGTGGTCAGTTACAAATACTGCCGAGAGTCTCTGGTGACAATTTATGGAATATGTGTGAAATCTTCAATACGACTAGGCAGTACTATATTCAAAGCGCTACACAAAGACCATAAGAGCGGAGGCAGCAGCTGTTAAAGCACAGGTGACCCAGGCTCTGTGATTCCTCGCGAAGCGCCGAGCGAAGTGATTTTATAATCTTGTCGCGCGCGAAGCGCGCACGCAGTGCGTGAACCGCGTGTGGGTCGCGAGCTGCAAACTCGCAGCTCTCATCTTTACTTGTATATCAGTATATATCTGATGGCGTCATTCAGTAGTTTGACGGCACGGCGGATTTTTGTTTCTAGGCAACATTCGACTGAAACGATTTCGAATACTAAGTATTCAGGAAGAGCTGTCTTTTCATCGTCTGTAAAACAATGTTTACTATCGGTGAATCTCAAGCCATTTCTCATGCAAACAGAACAGCAAGAACAACAACGCCAATTTGTCAATCTTCGCAGGTCAATATTTGACACCGAAAAATCCTCTGGAGCGAGAACGCCGACTTGAAATTCAACGGCGCAAGCAACAGAGATGGAGACGGCATCAACAAACAGCGGAGCAAAGGGAACATGACTCAATGAATTTCGAATGCTAAAGTACTTTAAGAGCAAATGGAAGCGATTTTGGATAATTAGCCTTAAGATATGAGTGAATATTGCGGTAACAAAACATGTTTTGCTCGCAGACGAGTTTATACCGTATCGACCTAGACTGTTGGGCTTCCATTCTTTACATGAAAATGCGATGAAATGCATTTACGTTGGGTTTTCACTGTCGAAACTACAGTCATTCTTCTGGAAAGTATCTTTGAGTTCACGTTTAATAAAGGCTCAAAGGTTTTAATAATAAAATTTCGATAATGTTTCCCGAGTGTTCCACGTGGCCAAGTGGTAGAGCTTCGTTAGCCTGGTGGGTCGAAGGTCCCGAGTCCGATCCTATACACCACATTTTTCTCTTCGCTTCTTTTCTTTTCTTTCCTTCTTTTTTTTCTTTTCTTTTCATTTAGTTTTTATTTTAGGTCTAACAGTTTTGTTATGTTTCTATATACAGCTTACAATTTCTTAGATTTACAAATTTTCTTCTCGGCTTTACTTGCCGTTCCCCCGAAGTCCTTCGCGAGGTCCTGCGATTTACGTATTTCTAGTAGTACCACAGTACTGTTCCAGTAAAATTACAGAGTTTGTATGGGGTAAAAATACCCCATAAAATGGCATCTCGTGTTTCCTACCTTGTATATTATTTATAGAGTGTTTTCACATGACGTCACGGCGGCCATATTGGTGTCCCAAAACAATGAAACGGCGGCCATGTTGGTGTCCCAAACCAATCCTTTGGGAGTTGGACACTTTTCTTATGCAAACGCTTTCTTTTGTTTCAATAAATTTGCATAGATGCTGGCCACGTGAATGAAAACACTCTATATAGAGTGAATTTGAACAAATTACTGCAAATTATCACGAAACTTCGTTGGAGCAATAAGGACAACAACAATTAACTGCAGAGTAAGTTTCATTGATCTTTATTCAGTATTTCCTAGAAATTTTAGGATGGTATTTTTACCCCATATAAACACAGTAATTTTACTGGAACCGTACTGTGGTACTATCACAGAGCCTGGGTGACCTGTGGTTAAAGTATAAAGAAGGAAATGAATCGTCAATTGTAACTCAGCAGTCTGTATGACGGCACTCACGTTGCATTGTAGACAGTCTTCCTAAAAGAGGAGAGGCAGCGCGACCGGGCGGTTAGAACGCTGGATTTGCATTGTAATCTGGGGGCCTCGGATCGGACATCGACCACGCTTGTAACAATCGGTGAACTAGATCGCCTCCGGCCAGTTGGGATTCTTCACCTAGTTGTGATTATATTTATTTCTCTCAGTCACTGCTCGGCCCCATATAAGCCTTTGTGCTATATAAAATACTGCCAAGAGTAAAATTTTTATTCATTATATCATTTTCTACCGGGTAAATTTGCTCCAATTTGTTTGGCAAATATCAGACGTTGTGCCCAGAGAACAAATGAATATTCACCGAGTGCAAGGAATTCATGATTCACCGCCGTAGCCAGTATGAGGCGAAACGAGGCACTCGCCTCGGTAAAATTTTACCAAATACTGTCGATTTTTATTTTTTTTATCAGACTGATAATATTAGAAGATTTCATACGGCTGATTTCGTACAACGGACCGTGTGTTCGCCTCGGTTGTAGTTTCTTCCTGGCTACGGCCCTATGATTAGAGTATATCAATGATTCAATAAGGAATATCAACAACAAGCCACACTGAACTCACGCAACAATATGATCTTCCAAGCAGACGATGACATCTATGGTACAGTTTTCAGTTTTCAGTTTTATGGTTTTGGAGTAGAAATGTGTGTTTAACAACAACGCAACACAATATCGCCTTTACATTCACCCCTGAGATTCTAAACTGGCATCCCGGAAAACTTGTAATGAAATATATGCTTAGCCATTTACATGTACGTCATAAACTGAAAAACGTGACAGGGTGTCAAAGTGATTTCCCAGTCGTTGTTTTTTTGCATCAACTGTCCAAACTTTCAGACCGATTGTAGTATTTGCGTTCTCGATTTTTCAGTACTTCAGGGCAAATGAGTATTAGTAAAAATACCGTAGATGTATGTGCATTTTCAAGTCAAGTCAACTTCTTTTACTCACTGTTTATCCTTCAAGGAGGCCCTGCAGGAGGGGGACCCACGTCGCCCGTCTGAATTTTAAAACGTCTCGTGTCGGTGTTTATAAATGCTTGTCGCTTATTGTCGGCTTTGTCGTCATTGTCGCAATTTGGCCGAGGGAGGTTGTCTCTTGTGGCGATTCCACTTTACACGCTGTCGCTACTTTTTGGGCCATGTCGCTTGTCGGAATTTACCCTGGCAGGGCCTCTTCAAGAGTTAAGTTTAGATTCATTATCAGGGAATACTGTTAGGAATAATTAAAAAACACACTGGAATCCAAAAATTCCAAAGATTTTGAGATTTCGACTCTTAACTTAGACGATCATGATCTCAAAGAAAACCCAACCGACCTTTTGATTCCACACTACCAGTTTCAGGGGGTAAAAGAAAATCAAAAAATTAAACAAATACATAAACGACCTAAAATTTTTTTTTGCTGACTAAATAAATAATTTTTCTCCTTTATTTTCTACTATTTATTAAAACCACCTACACATTAATAACATTGATGTTCATTAATATTTTACGCTCATTTTCTTTTCTTTTGTTTTTTTGTGTTCATTTTCTTTGTGTGTGCTCTTTCTTACGTTGTTTGCGTTGTTCGCGTATGTCAGCATTTAGAGTGATTTTACTTAACCCGTGAAAAGGTAGAAGAAAACTTCCCACAATTATGCACTAATTCTATTGTCTTCTTTTGTTTATTTGTAGCTATTTTGTACTGGTTGTTATTTAACAATTATTCCTCTAGCCTACGAGCAAGCTCTCCTATTTGGGCGAGCGAAGTAAGCCGCGGGAGAACGCGCGAGCGAGAGGCGAAGCCGCGAGGGGCCGCCCCCCGCTCTCGCGTGCCTCTCGCGTGTCCACTTTTCACTACATCGCCAAATGGAGAGCTTGCTCGCAGGCTATTTTTCCTCACGCCCATAGCCTGCGTAACAGGCGCTTACGTAGGAACTTGGAGCCCAAATGGGCTCTCGACTCAAAGGCCATAAGGGGGAGGAGAATAATTCTTTTAGTAAAATCCAAATAGTTGGTCAACGATATCGAGACAAAACAACTTCAGCTAGCAAAACGTGATTCAACCACCACTGTTTTGCTTTTCAAAGCTTGTGCTTTTTCGCTACTAGTGGGCTTTAACATATAGCCTAGTAGTAGCTCAACCAATCAGAATGCAGAATTGATAATAGACCACTAGTTGGATTTTACTAACATAGAATATCTTTTATCTTTATCTTGGCTTATAAAATTTACTTTAAGTATCCAAACTGTAGGCAATTTTCATATTAAAATATTAACCTTTTTATCACTATGCTGGGTACATACTCTCTAACTGGTGTTTAAAGGTAGCAGGTATCCCATAGCCTTAGTAATATTTTGTCGAGAACAGGGCTCAAGAACAACTTGAATCCCAGCAAGTCCTTTGGGAAAGAAGCCTGGGGCCTCTTCTTGCTCGTCTCAGTTAATGACTTGGTTAAAGGGTGACTTACCTGGACCGTTTCCCACTGGGCAAGTGAGCCTTAAAACTTACTTGCCCAGCAAGAAAATCTATTTCAAATTTGCCCCAGACTACTGGACAGGACTTTCCTTAAGCCCTGGGGGATCAATACTTGGAAAAAAAAAAGAGCATTTATTTCAGCCTTACTAATGTGTAAGTAAAACAAGGGCATTAACTAAGCTTTAAAAGTTACTTGCCCAGCAAGAAAATCTACTTGTCCGGGACTACTATACATGTACATGGGCCTTTTTTCAAGCCCTGGGGAATCAATATATAGACAAAATACTACAGTCACAGACCATACATTTCAGCTTGATAAATTTGTAAGTTAAACAAAAGGCTGCAGACACTGTTTGATTCCTTCCTTGAATGGAGTGCGCATGCTTGCCCCACCATCTTCCATCATGGATTCCAGATCCGAGCAGCTAAGAGCAGTGTTGCGGGGCCTTGGAGTTCCAGCACTAGGAGCATCAGGATTTGGAATCAGGTGACTGTGTGATAAACCAAAAATCTCTGCCATTTGGCAAACCATTGCATATTTTGTCATGACTTCTGTTCCACTCCAGTGCCAAATTCCTTTGAAAGAAGAATCTGTGACGCGCTTTTCTGCAATGAATCTGCAAACTGTGGCAATGTCATCAACCAGGGTAGGATACCGGAATGCATAATCATCCATTTTGGTAGGTTTTCCAGTTTCTTTAAGAGCTTCAAAGAGAACTAGAATAATAAAACAGAGAATTCACAAAACCAAAAATCCTCGCCAAAATCCTTCCCATACCATGAACGTCGCACCTTAAATCCCCTAAGTTACAAGGCTATCTGACTATTACACAAAAAGTAACTTACAGTAGAGACCTTAAGATACCCCGATATCGGTGTACGGGTACGGGTAGTGTACCCGTACACGTAAAATGTTCATGTGCGTGACTATTTCGATTAAGATACCCGAAGAACAAGCACGCAAAATTAACTTTGTACATGCATGTCGCTTAATGCATACAAAATCTCCCTCAAATCTTAACAACAAGCTGCAACAAATAATTCATTCATACATAAGCTTATTGAAATATCATAGAAAGATTTTAAGAAACTTGGCGGGAAGTCCCTCGACCGAAAGCTTGTTATCGCAAACCCCGCCATTTGATCGAGGCACATCACCAAACAATTCCTTTGATTGTCAACTTCAACAGTGACTCCCATGCTAAATTTTTCAATGCTATTTCTTTTGCGAAACTCAAACGTTCGAGCAATTCTCAGAAATCCCCCCAAATACCGCCACAAATTGATATCGTTTCAGAGTTCAACCTGCACATTTGAGGTCCAAAATCAATACATTTTGAAGCGCTTTCTTTACAGCTAAAATTCAAATTTGGCAAAAATATTTGAACAGACTTGCAATAACATTGCCAAGGAGTCATACAATTTACATTTGTACTTAAAAAGTCTTAAAAACTTACTTGTTTCTCCATCATGTAGGATTTGCAGCTACTCGTAAATCTTCTATGGGTAAACTGGTGTCTACCCCGGAAAAACGGCTGCTTCTACCGGGTAAGGTCGATGACGTCACCACAAAATGAAAAAAACATGGCGCTACCCGTTACCCGTACACCGATTTCGGGGTATCTTAAGGTCTCTAGTAATAATTCTAGCTGAAGCCTTCACTCATAAATTAATAAACAATGAACTTGAGCATTAAATTGAATGTAAAAAAAATGCAACTTTGCAAGTAAAAAATAATGTGGAAGATTATAAGATCCTAGTCAAAATCCTTCCCATACCATGAATGTCTCGCCTTAACTATTGCACAAAAAGTAACTTACAGTGATGATTCTAGCTGAAGCCTACACACATAAATTAATAAACACTGAACTTGAGCATTAAATTGAATGTAAAAAAAGATGCAACTTTGCAAGTAAAAAATAATGTGGAAGACTATTTTAATCTTTAGAGGTCCCACTATGTAATATGTCAACCAGGGTTCAACAGCGTTAATTTGGTAAAGTTTTTTTTTTTCATTGTTTTCAATTTCAAATTTTAACCTGTTCTATGATTCTTGAATTAGCCTGAGCATGCAAGCTCTCTCAGTTACCTCTGATTGACTTGGGTCGAGGAAGTGTAAAGAGTAAAGAGATAGTTTGCCCATATAAGCTACATCTTGAAGGGATGAGAAAAAACAGTTTCCACATTTTGGGTGTTTGCTTACAGGAGGTTCGACTGTATTTGTGAATACAAAAATAAGCATTGCCGGCAAATAAGCACTGCACTAAGAAGTAAAAATTCAACAAGGATCACAGTACTGACACAAGTAAATATGTCGCTTACAGATGGTCACTTCTTGTTACCCCATCTCCAATCTGCCCTCATCTGATCTTTCTTACACACACCACTCCCCCACCCCCCTGCCGGTCCCACCCTTAGCAAACATGTACAGCTGGGTGGATGGGCTATTGAATTTAATATCCACACCCCCTCCCCCTCTGTTGAGGAACCACCCTTTTTTCTTACTCCTGAAGAAATCACCAAATTGCATGCACCCATGCAGACTGCCATTAGTTATGGGTCTACCCTTGAAGAATTTTTTTCACGAATTCTCTGTTTCCCGCTTCAGATTGCCCCTAAGGAATTTGTAATTATTTTTTTTTCACTGCAAGTGAAGAATTCCTCGACCTTTAAAACTTACCCCTGAGGAATTACATTGCTCCTTGACCCAGCATGCAAGGGTGGGGTGGGGGAAGGGGGGGAAGGCGGGGAAGGCGGGCGGGGAGAGGAGAGATTACTTTTAATACAATAGCTACGATCTGTAAAAGAGTCAAAAGACCCCATATGCAAGACAGACCACCAACTAAGTTTAAATAAGACAGACAATTAATACTGTAAAAATACATCCGGAGATATGTACAAAAATAATCAGTAAAATAAATAACCAGTAGCTACAAACCTGTGACGGCACTTTCCTTCAAATATTCCACGTTTCCGTACAAAATTGGAATTCGGAGGATTCCCGAATCAGAGACACAGGTCTGCACCACTTTCTCTCCTGCCAGCTTACTTTTTCCGTACTTGTTTAACGGGTTTGGCTTATCCATAGGTTTGTAAGGTGGACTCGTGCCATCGAACACATAATCGGTACTGATATATAGCATAAAATGTTCCGGGACTTCCAATCCATTGTTCAAATCGTTTATGGTTGTTGCTAAGACTTTAGTTATACCCACGTTCATTTTTTCGCAAGTTTCCTCGTCGTTTTCCACGACGTCTGGCCTTCTTTCTGCGGCAGAATGGATCAACACATGGGGCTTGAACTCCGTCACAACTCGCTGCGCTTCGTCGAAATCCAACAGATTTACCTTTTTTAGAGCCCCTGTGGCCCGCGAATGAGCAAGGCCTAGAACTTCCCAGCTATCGGAGTTAGAAAACTGCTTTAGAATTGCTCGCCCTAGAAGGCCAGACGCTCCAGTGATAAGGACCCGATGTTTCGTCGCCATGTTGAAAATGCACGTCACGACCTGCGATCACAGGTCACCCAAGCTCCGATTATCACCATAGTCATTATGACTATGGACTATATACACGGTTGCGCGAAGATATGAATGGCAAAACAATATTTTACTCACTCGCTGCCCTCGTTCGTAAAATATTGTTTTTGCCACGAGAAAATAAAATTTATATCTTCAAGCCGCTGTGTAATGTTCTTTTTATTATATAGACAAAATGACATCGATAAAATAATAGAGGGAAATTACCAAAATTACGTCATCGATAAACTCACGTGTGAGTTTATGGAAAATAAACCACTCGGGTCCCGGATGTAGTTTTTATGAATTTTACGAGTGGTATATTTTCCGGCAAAACACTCGTGTCTATATAATAAAGCATTTTATTCGAATTTTATAGAGTGTTGTAGGCTGAGAATTTAATCCTCATATTTTATTTGAAATAAGGTCAAATGTTCCATCATCATCATCATCATCATCAAAGATGTCCTTTAGGTACCTTGCCAGTGAAATTGTGAGTAAGAAAGTAAACTCGGCCAGAATGAAATACAATTGATTCGTTTTTGTGTGTTAGGTCCTGTAATTTATTGTCGGAATAAGTTATGTTTTTTGAATGGTTTGATTGTCACGTTTATAGTTCATCCTCTCTATTTTTAATGTTTGAACGCACGTCATGTGGAAGTGAAGCCTTTTCAAGCGGGGACAACTTTTCTTCAAGCATATTTGCAGGTCGAGGGCCTTAGTTTTGTGACTAATCTCAAAACAGAAAGTTTATGCCAACTTTTACTGTGATGAAGACAAAATGAGTTATTTACTTACACCAAACAATGCCAAAAAATAATTCTAAAATAGTAGTAGATATTATATCCACATAGAAATTCAAATGAGAAAGGAAATGAAAGCAAAATCCCGCAATCAATAAGCTGTTGTTTATTTTTTTTTCTTTTTGTATAACTCTTCTTTTGTATTGTTTGTTTCATATTTTCTCGTTTAAAACAAACCAAGAGAGAATGCCATGAATGAATGATGGTTACGAGATAAATCAGACTGCCTCCCTTTATCCCTTCAGAGTTAAGGCGCACTTGCTGTAGCGAAAACATGAACGTAGTTATGGTAAACTGTTGCTAATTTATTTTTTAGTTTTAGTTTTTTTCTAGTTTATTATTTTAAAGGGTTTCGAGTTTTTTTCGTTCTTGAACGGGAACTCTACTTTTGGGCTTGCTTTGTCAGTGCGTACCGACATAATTATCCCCTTTATCTAATCAAGGGGCGACGCCATGTTTCTGTGGATCGAATGGAGGAGGAACTTTATCCTCTTGGTGGCGTGTTGGGAAACAAGCCCTTAATATAAAGTCTCTACTTCCAAGCGCACTAGGAGTGGAGACCATAGCCCTCTCATGCTCGGACCATCCAGAATCAGATCTTTCATTCTCTCTTTATTTTTACGGACTAAACATCTTAAAAAGCAATCCCTCGACATCCCTAAACACATTATCAGCATAATGCACAGGATCGGTCTGCGACACAGTTCCAGCAGGATAAGCTTCGCTGATTGGATGAACGTCTATGACGTCAATACCAGCACGACACATGGCTGAAAGGGCATAGGCATTGAACAACTTAACGCGTGAAAAAGTCATGAACCGACGGACATCTTTATGTGGATTTGGAAATCTTTCCCTGTGAATGGCAGTTGACGTTTTCCATAAAAACCTCCCCTTAAAAGAGTTGCTGATATATTTGGCAGGTTTGTTTTCGCCGTCATCCTTCAGCAGGCGTATTAACTGTTCGATAACTCGCTGGTAATTAGTAAAATTCACCGCAGCAGCAAAATGGATTCCCATGTTCATCATCAATACACTCTTTTCAGTTATTTCCGGGTTAAACAAAGTCTGCAAAACAAACAAGTTTATAGGTCGTTGAATGAGGCGATGTAAAGCGGTAAAGAGAGGTATAATGAGAGGAATATAGGACTATACCAACTAAAAAATTATTAGGTCCTCCATTTGCATCGTGTTCTGGCTATCCCCTGCAACAGGTACGGCCAGGGTTTCTCATTGCCGGTCAATTTAGATCTTTAAGATTTTTCGGGGGGAAAGCCCATGCAGCCGCAAACAGGGGCAAACAATGACAGTTTCCTCCTAAATGCATTAAAACACTTTTTAGACTATCCGGAGTACTTTCAGATCTTTAAAAATGCATTATAAGCGGCGCCGCTATAAAATTTGTAGCCGTTCGGTTGTCCTAAGAGAGGCAACTCAAGTCTTTTCGAAATTACAAGGGCCTCAGTATTAATTGCCCGAAAATTTTAGATGCAATTTTAGGTTTTACGAAAGTGACAATTTTTCTGATTCCTCTGTCCATCGAATTTTCGAATCCGAAGATTTAAGGTTTCCTTTTTCTTCGGAAAGTAGGCTAACTTGGGGACTGGAATGCAAAAATTTAAACTTTAGAAAATCGTAGAGAATTTATAAGATATGCTACGAAAATTGTACAATATAGAATAGAAAGGTCATCTAGAAGTTTTAGCCTTCCTCACGCTATAGAAAATTCTAGGCAATTTTGCTTCTCCGAACAGATATTTTACAGAAAACAGCCGTTGAGGGCCCCTGCGCCATTGCGTCCCTCCGGGAGAGCTTGCTCATCGGCTACAATTTGTATGATGGAATGATGGAACAAGGTTCCGCAACCAAACTGACCGTAGTCCCCATTTATGAGTATTAAAATTTTCAATCTTATACTTTTTAAATTTAAAGCTTACCTTTTTGATGTCATTTATAACTCGTTCGTGATCGTAATCAGCGTCATCAGGGAGAGGTTCCCTTGGTGATTTGACGCCATCGCCCCAGTATTTTGCCATGTCGTACACCCAGTGGTAAATAGGTCGACAGGCGATAAATGTCTTCTTGCACAGATTACGGTAAGGACCAGATGTAAGGGAGCTGAGAAACATATTAGAAACGGAATCTCCAAAACTGAAGAAGATACCTTCTTGATTTCTATTATCCTTTAAAATGATGTCTGTAAACAACAACGAGATGTGTTGATATCATGGCGATAACAATAAACATTACAACTACTGAGTTTACTTGATACAGCCTAATTGCAAAGAATACATATTCTAAACAAAAAAAAATCAATGGCCTAATTTACCATTTGGGTAGAATCCCTTTGAGACGAAAAGATTGACCTATAACCATTAACTAAACTGGACGCAGCCAACCAGATTCGTGAATGACAACCAGCCTTTCGGCAAAATCTGGGACAGTCGGGAAACAGTAAAATCCCAGATCGTCTGGGATTTTCCCGACATATGAAAACCATGCAGGCTTAAATAAAAAATTAAATTTCAACAAGAGAGGATAAAGGCAGGAGCCCGGCTCCTGATAAAGGTTAATTATCCTCTTGTAATCTCTGTTAGCTTCTCAAAGCGGTGTTGTTATAAGAGAGGGGGAGGGCGGGGGTGGGTCAGACACACACGAATGGGTCACAATTCCTTTCCAAAACTATTACTGTGATTGAATTTGATCTATACTTTTCTCTTTTTGTTTTAAAATCAGCTAAGTTTAAATTTCTGGATTTTTTTATTTTAAGTAAATTAAAAGTACATAAATTGACGCTTGGCTTTTAGCCTTGCAACTTTGCAAGTAAAAAATAATGTGGAAGATTATAAGATCCTAGTCAAAATCCTTCCCATACCATGAATGTCTCGCCTTAACTATTGCACAAAAAGTAACTTACAGTGATGATTCTAGCTGAAGCCTACACACATAAATTAATAAACACTGAACTTGAGCATTAAATTGAATGTAAAAAAAGATGCAACTTTGCAAGTAAAAAATAATGTGGAAGACTATTTTAATCTTTAGAGGTCCCACTATGTAATATGTCAACCAGGGTTCAACAGCGTTAATTTGGTAAAGTTTTTTTTTTTCATTGTTTTCAATTTCAAATTTTAACCTGTTCTATGATTCTTGAATTAGCCTGAGCATGCAAGCTCTCTCAGTTACCTCTGATTGACTTGGGTCGAGGAAGTGTAAAGAGTAAAGAGATAGTTTGCCCATATAAGCTACATCTTGAAGGGATGAGAAAAAACAGTTTCCACATTTTGGGTGTTTGCTTACAGGAGGTTCGACTGTATTTGTGAATACAAAAATAAGCATTGCCGGCAAATAAGCACTGCACTAAGAAGTAAAAATTCAACAAGGATCACAGTACTGACACAAGTAAATATGTCGCACAGATGGTCACTTCTTGTTACCCCATCTCCAATCTGCCCTCATCTGATCTTTCTTACACACACCACTCCCCCACCCCCCTGCCGGTCCCACCCTTAGCAAACATGTACAGCTGGGTGGATGGGCTATTGAATTTAATATCCACACCCCCTCCCCCTCTGTTGAGGAACCACCCTTTTTTCTTACTCCTGAAGAAATCACCAAATTGCATGCACCCATGCAGACTGCCATTAGTTATGGGTCTACCCTTGAAGAATTTTTTTCACGAATTCTCTGTTTCCCGCTTCAGATTGCCCCTAAGGAATTTGTAATTATTTTTTTTTCACTGCAAGTGAAGAATTCCTCGACCTTTAAAACTTACCCCTGAGGAATTACATTGCTCCTTGACCCAGCATGCAAGGGTGGGGTGGGGGAAGGGGGGGAAGGCGGGGGGAAGGCGGGCGGGGAGAGGAGAGATTACTTTTAATACAATAGCTACGATCTGTAAAAGAGTCAAAAGACCCCATATGCAAGACAGACCACCAACTAAGTTTAAATAAGACAGACAATTAATACTGTAAAAATACATCCGGAGATATGTACAAAAATAATCAGTAAAATAAATAACCAGTAGCTACAAACCTGTGACGGCACTTTCCTTCAAATATTCCACGTTTCCGTACAAAATTGGAATTCGGAGGATTCCCGAATCAGAGACACAGGTCTGCACCACTTTCTCTCCTGCCAGCTTACTTTTTCCGTACTTGTTTAACGGGTTTGGCTTATCCATAGGTTTGTAAGGTGGACTCGTGCCATCGAACACATAATCGGTACTGATATATAGCATAAAATGTTCCGGGACTTCCAATCCATTGTTCAAATCGTTTATGGTTGTTGCTAAGACTTTAGTTATACCCACGTTCATTTTTTCGCAAGTTTCCTCGTCGTTTTCCACGACGTCTGGCCTTCTTTCGGCGGCAGAATGGATCAACACATGGGGCTTGAACTCCGTCACAACTCGCTGCGCTTCGTCGAAATCCAACAGATTTACCTTTTTTAGAGCCCCTGTGGCCCGCGAATGAGCAAGGCCTAGAACTTCCCAGCTATCGGAGTTAGAAAACTGCTTTAGAATTGCTCGCCCTAGAAGGCCAGACGCTCCAGTGATAAGGACCCGATGTTTCGTCGCCATGTTGAAAATGTCACGTCACGACCTGCGATCACAGGTCACCCAAGCTCCGATTATCACCATAGTCATTATGACTATGGACTATATACACGGTGGCGCGAAGATATGAATGGCAAAACAATATTTTACTCACTCGCTGCGCTCGTTCGTAAAATATTGTTTTTGCCACGAGAAAATAAAATTTATATCTTCAAGCCGCTGTGTAATGTTCTTTTTATTATATAGACAAAATGACATCGATAAAATAATAGAGGGAAATTACCAAAATTACGTCATCGATAAACTCATGTGTGAGTTTATGGAAAATAAACCACTCGGGTCCCGGATGTAGTTTTTATGAATTTTACGAGTGGTATATTTTCCGGCAAAACACTCGTGTCTATATAATAAAGCATTTTATTCGAATTTTATAGAGTGTTGTAGGCTGAGAATTTAACCCTCATATTTTATTTGAAATAAGGTCAAATGTTCCATCATCATCATCATCATCATCAAAGATGTCCTTTAGGTACCTTGCCAGTGAAATTGTGAGTAAGAAAGTAAACTCGGCCAGAATGAAATACAATTGATTCTTTTTTGTGTGTTAGGTCCTGTAATTTATTGTCGGAATAAGTTATGTTTTTTGAATGGTTTGATTGTCACGTTTATAGTTCATCCTCTCTATTTTTAATGTTTGAACGCACGTCATGTGGAAGTGAAGCCTTTTCAAGCGGGGACAACTTTTCTTCAAGCATATTTGCAGGTCGAGGGCCTTAGTTTTGTGACTAATCTCAAAACAGAAAGTTTATGCCAACTTTTACTGTGATGAAGACAAAATGAGTTATTTACTTACACCAAACAATGCCAAAAAATAATTCTAAAATAGTAGTAGATATTATATCCACATAGAAATTCAAATGAGAAAGGAAGTGAAAGCAAAATCCCGCAATCAATAAGCTGTTGTTTATTTTTTTTTCTTTTTGTATAACTCTTCTTTTGTATTGTTTGTTTCATATTTTCTCGTTTAAAACAAACCAAGAGAGAATGCCATGAATGAATGATGGTTACGAGATAAATCAGACTGCCTCCCTTTATCCCTTCAGAGTTAAGGCGCACTTGCTGTAGCGAAAACATGAACGTAGTTATGGTAAACTGTTGCTAATTTATTTTTTAGTTTTATTTTTTTTCTAGTTTATTATTTTAAAGAGTTTCAAGTTTTTTTTCGTTCTTGAACGGGAACTCTACTTTTGGGCTTGCTTTGTCAGTGTGTACCGACAAAATTATCCCCTTTATCTAATCAAGGGGCGACGCCATGTTTCTGTGGATCGAATGGAGGAGGAACTTTATCGTCTTGGTGGCGTGTTGGGAAACAAGCCCTTAATATAAAGTCTCTACTTCCAAGCGCACTAGGAGTGGAGACCATAGCCCTCTCATGCTCGGACCATCCAAAATCAGATCTTTCATTCTCTCTTTATTTTTACGGACTAAACATCTTAAAAAGCAATCCCTCGACATCCCTAAACACATTATCAGCATAATGCACAGGATCGGTCTGCGACACAGTTCCAGCAGGATAAGCTTCGCTGATTGGATGAACGTCTATGACGTCAATACCAGCACGACACATGGCTGAAAGGGCATAGGCATTGAACAACTTAACGCGTGAAAAAGTCATGAACCGACGGACATCTTTATGTGGATTTGGAAATCTTTCCCTGTGAATGGCAGTTGACGTTTTCCATAAAAACCTCCCCTTAAAATAGTTGCTGATATATTTGGCAGGTTTGTTTTCGCCGTCATCCTTCAGCAGGCGTATTAACTGTTCGATAACTCGCTGATAATTAGTAAAATTCACTGCAGCAGCAAAATGGATTCCCATGTTCATCATCAATACACTCTTTTCAGTTATTTCCGGGTTAAACAAAGTCTGCAAAACAAACAAGTTTATAGGTCGTTGAATGAGGCGATGTAAAGCGGTAAAGAGAGGTATAATGAGAGGAATATAAGACTATACCAACTAAAAAATTATTAGGTCCTCCATTTGCATCGTGTTCTGGCTATCCCCTGCAACAGGTACGGCCAGGGTTTCTCATTGCCGGTCAATTTAGATCTTTAAGATTTTTCGGGGGGAAAGCCCATGCAGCCGCAAACAGGGGCAAACAATGACAGTTTCCTCCTAAATGTATTAAAAAACTTTTTAGACTATCCGGAGTACTTTCAGATCTTTAAAAATGCATTATAAGCGGCGCCGCTATAAAATTTGTAGCCGTTCGGTTGTCCTAAGAGAGGCAACTCAAGTCTTTTCGAAATTACAAGGGCCTCAGTATTATTTGCCCGAAAATTTTAGATGCAATTTTAAGTTTTACGAAAGTGAGAATTTTTCTGATTCCTCTGTCCATCGAATTTTCGAATCCGAAGATTTAAGGTTTCCTTTTTCTTCGGAAAGTAGGCTTACTTGGGGACTGGAATGCAAAAATTTAAACTTTAGAAAATCGTAGGGAATATATAAGATATGCTACGAAAATTGTACAATATGGAATAGAAAGGTCATCTAGAAGTTTTAGCCTTCCTCACGCTATAGAAAATTCTAGGCAATTTTGCTTTTTACAGAAAACAGCCGTTGAGTGCCCCTGCGCCATTGCGTCCCTCCGGGAGAGCTTGCTCGTCGGCTACAATTTGTATGATGGAATGATGGAACAAGGTTCCGCAACCAAACTGACCGTAGTCCCCATTTATGAGTATTAAAATTTCCAATCTTATACTTTTTAAATTTAAAGCTTACCTTTTTGATGTCATTTATAACTCGTTCGTGATCGTAATCAGCGTCATCAGGGAGAGGTTCCCTTGGTGATTTGACGCCATCGCCCCAGTATTTTGCCATGTCGTACACCCAGTGGTAAATAGGTCGACAGGCGATAAATGTCTTCTTGCACAGATTACGGTAAGGACCAGATGTAAGGGAGCTGAGAAACATATTAGAAACGGAATCTCCAAAACTGAAGAAGATACCTTCTTGATTTCTATTATCCTTTAAAATGATGTCTGTAAACAACAACGAGATGTGTTGATATCATGGCGATAACAATAAACATTACAACTACTGAGTTTACTTGATACAGCCTAATTGCAAAGAATACATATTCTAAACAAAAAAAAATCAATGGCCTAATTTACCATTTGGGTAGAATCCCTTTGAGACGAAAAGATTGACCTATAACCATTAACTAAACTGGACGCAGCCAACCAGATTCGTGAATGACAACCAGCCTTTCGGCAAAATCTGGGACAGTCGGGAAACAGTAAAATCCCAGATCGTCTGGGATTTTCCCGACATATGAAAACCATGCAGGCTTAAATAAAAAATTAAATTTCAACACGAGAGGATAAAGGCAGGAGCCCGGCTCCTGATAAAGGTTAATTATCCTCTTGTAATCTCTGTTAGCTTCTCAAAGCGGTGTTGTTATAAGAGAGGGGGAGGGCGGGGGTGGGTCAGACACACACGAATGGGTCACAATTCCTTTCCAAAACTATTACTGTGATTGAATTTGATCTATACTTTTCTCTTTTTGTTTTAAAATCAGCTAAGTTTAAATTTCTGGATTTTTTTATTTTAAGTAAATTAAAAGTACATAAATGGACGCTTGGCTTTTAGCCTTGGCTAAATATATAAATTATCATGGCGATAACAAGGCTACTGTGTTTACTTGATACAGCCTAATTTCGTTGTTCATGCAGTTAAAATATCGTCATGCAAACGAGACACTTACCTTTAATGTAAGGCTTCCATTGCCCATTGACCCATCTACCAAATCCATCCCAGATCATTGCTCTACATGACGCGTCACATGTGTAGTTAACTTTCACCAAGGCGTCAACTATTTATTCAGAGATTCAAAATAAGTTATGATTAAGAAAGAGAATTAATGTCGCTCACAAGGAAACGGATCGTTTCCGTATACTAATAGCGTCCGGTTAATTGAGTGCTGTATCCAGCTTCAGCAACTTCATGTACAAAAAATTAGCAAGCAGGAATATTTCTATTGAAACTGTATAAGGTGTTTGGTTTGAAGGGGTTGAAGTCCATTTTATGAGTATAAAAGCAGTCTTCCCGCAGACCTCAATTTTCTATCATTGATGTGATAAACACACGAGGGAACGTTTGTCAGGCGTACGTGTCTTGCGCTTCCATTTGCGTCTGTCATGAGGTATGTTTCATTTGCTACATTCAACTCTCTATTAACGGACACCCTTTGTGAGACGGACACCTAGAGTTGGTGATCCTTTTAGCTGACTCTCTAGAATTAAGACAGACAATTCTCTAGACTCTCTCTAAGACAAAAGTGTCTTAGAGAATAACCGGCACTATATGTGTCCGTCTCAGAGAGAGTCAATCAAAGAGAGTAAAGAAAGGAAGGATTCAACTCTAATTGTCCGTTTTAGCGAGGTGTCTGTCTTATGGAGGTGTCCGTTAGAAAAAGGATGTCTGTACAAAGGGTAAGGGGTGAATCAAACTTTTGGATAGCTAGTAGTCTCCCTTGCAGGAAGGCGCGAAGAAGCCCCAAGAAAGTCTGTGTAGGAGGCTGGATAGCCAGCTCCCATTGACGTACAATAATCATCGGCTTATCCATGCAACAGGCCTTGGCCAGGTACAATATATATACGTTCACATAACAAACTCTCTGTAATTGTATAGATATGCAAAATGAATACTTTTCCCTATACCATGAATGACCGCGCCAACAATATTCATGCAGCTGGTCCTTCGCGCATACCGTATTCAACCCACTAGAGTTTGAAGGATAATAATTCACTTTCCGTGCTGTTTGTTTGTTTTAAATTGTTTCGGCAGTTGCAATTGATCAGTCCTGACTTACTGTATCGCAGATTATTCGTTGATGGAGGAATATGAAAAGTCACCTTCTCTCCATCCCTGAAAGGAGCTATTAAGTAAGGCCGGTCCCCTTTAAGGATGCCATCAGGTTGATTTTTACCTTGGGAATTGCCTAAGGGGAAAAAAAAAGGAATATCCTCAGTCACATGTTGAATTATCTTAGTGAACTGATAATTTCTTCAGCAAGTTGGTAGGGGCCGGCAAACTATACCCGGCCCCCTTCCCACACACACACCATAGAATAATTTACCCTCAAACTCGGCAACGTAACTAGTTTTAAGGGGTTTCATTTTTTCATCGATCTCGGATTGATCCAAATCAAGGGTCTATTACTTTTAATGAAAAACCAAGCCAGTTCTGATGCGGAATTTAAAAATAAACATACACTGTCGCACTTAATTTCTAGAGACCATGACTTGCTATGATGTCAATGATGAGTAAACAACGTATACGGGTGACAATAAACGTACATACATAAAGGCTATATCAGGTTACTTTCCGCAATAAATTTTTTTTTCTTCAGAAAAATATAAACCTATTTAAAAACCTAAATAGCCTAAATTTGACGTAATATATTTTTTTCTTCAGACAAATAAGAACCTATTTAAGAACCTAAATAGCCTACATTTGACGTACTAATTATCTTTTATGTAAGAACCTGTTTAGGCTAACTTGCAAAAATGCAGGCTCTTGGTCTTGATTTTACTGGGTCAGGCTTTCGTCTAAAAATTAATAATCTAAATTTCCTGCCAAGTTCTCTTTAATTCGAGCAGCCACATGGTGTACGGGGAATATACTGTCCTGCTTTTCTGTTCCCTTAACAATTCATTGACTTTGAAACAAGTAACCAAACAAACCTAAAAAATGAATGGGGCTTGTTGGCAGGTAGCAAAAACTGAAGCCGTACACTACAGTACTGAAACCCTCCAGGGGTAAAACTGACCCGCCACTAAGAATTAACCTACATTTTCCACTGCCTAAACATGCGGGTTCTTACATAAAATGGTAATAAGCACAAATTTAGGCCTTCAGACTCTTAATTAGCTTCTTATTTTCTGAAGGAAATCTAATAGTACATTGTAGTTGACAGTACGTAGTGATAAGTCAGCTCATTCCTTAGGTAAAACCTGTATACCATTACAATTGCAGTTGGAGTGCTGACTTATCTTATTCGCCTTAAGTGTAAATAATTATAATCGTTTTGTAGATTTTATGAGAAAATAATAACCTGTTCCAGATTTTAGGCTTAACGATTTTTGTACAGAGGTGGCTTAACTGGCAAATTTTAGCAATAAAACTCTACTGGGGCCGGCTTATAGTTCCAAAATATTAATCAGTTTGTCAACGAAGTATACTCAATCTCCAGCCTTGGTTATCTCGATGTGCCCGGGCGCGGTGGGGCATCGAGACACCGAGCCTATGTGCGAATTTGATCACTTTGACCTAAAAATATTTTACCTTTTTTGAACCAATATGGAGGGGGATCTTTGAATCCGTGGCAAAGGCTGTAATCCAAGAAGATTTTAGCTTCATAATCTCCATCCTCTATTATAAGAAATAAAACCTCATAGGTTCCATTGTTGTGGTCAAAAATGGTTGGGGCCAAAGACGACGGACCTTGAATATGAATTCTCCATGAGTCTCCTCCGATAGTTTTTTCCACATTACCTGCCGATACCGTCTGAATAACAAATCGGCTGAATTCTCCGGCTGCTTTTATGTTCCACCCTGAAATAAAACTCTTGCTAGGGTCTGTTATCTGATTGACTCCAAATCCTGGTTTTATTGGTGACCAGACGGTTAAATTTAAACAAGGACGAAGAATTTCTTTCCAATCTAATCTAGCTTTTTGCAGTCGGCACCAGTCACGTTTAAACACGTCCAAGCTTTGTTGAAATTCTAATCCCATCAGCTTAGTCTTAGACGAATTATTATTCTCTCGTAATGAGTTGATGTCCAGTTTGTTGGCAATTCCAGTCAATATACTTTTCTTGTCTCTAGCAATCGAATAGCTAGGGCTTCCCCCTTTAGCTGGCACAATACGTTCATATTCATCGTAGTTTGTACTTTTAGTCACTGGTTTGTGCCTCGAGCTATTGAAACTATTGAAAACGCGATCAAGAAAAGAAACAAAAATTGCAAATGACAGGAAAATACAAATCGTTGAAAAACATTTTAACATCGATCGAGGCATGGTGTTATACTCAGCTGATGAAAAACTACGCGCAAGAGTTTGGAGCACGCTTTGATGTCATCTCTAAAAGGACTAAGCTTGGATACACCAACAAGTACAACTCAGCAGGTAGCAATATTGTATATACCGGTTGTTATTTACCTCTGTTGACTAGGCCAAGAAAAGACCAGTTCCACTCCGTCATTTGGTCCTTTTCTATCAAAATTAGATTAAAAATATACGCGCAGTGATCACGTTTTTTTTGTTGATGAAATTATGATGATTGTTAGAAGAAAGTTAAAGCAAACTGGTCATTTCAGAGCAATCACTTCATATCTTATTACAGAAATTCAGAACGAAAATGTTTGTCGCTATCAGGTACTAAGGTCCACTGTGTAATGCAGCCACCAAGGAAAATAGAAAATCAAAACTTCAGGGTGTAGAACAATCAACAACTTTTATTGAGTCTACACGGATTATAAAAGATAGTCTTTGTCAAAGCCACATTGTCTTTGTGATGTTTAGCCTAAGAAAACAGCCGACATCTGGCGACGCTACCACTGGTTTCCCCGCCAAATGACGTTTGAGAAACGGGCGCAGAAATTCCATACTGATGACCCGTCACTACCCAGATCTGGGTTAGTGCTTCTGATTGGTCGTGCCGCGTGAAATTTGATTCAGCCAATCAGAAGCACTACCCAGATCCGAGAAGTGACGCGTCATCAGTATGGAATTTCTGCGCTCGTTTCTCAGACGTCATTTGGCGGGGAAACCAGTGGTAGCGTCGCCATATGTCGGCTGTTTTCTCAGTTCATGTAATGTTGAAATGTACGAAAGAATACCCGTGAAAAATGCCAAAACCTGCGCGCTCACTTGACAGTAGCCCTGACCACTGGTAAAAAAGTTCTTGGACTCAGGCAAGAGTTAGTTAAAATAGGCCAGTTTCGAAAGATTAGAAAATCATACATAGCTATAGGCGGTAGCTTCGAGGATGAGGGTAATACAACAGTGGAAATGAATTATCAATCTCGGAATCTTAAGGCAATTGCAGTTTCTTTGGATTTTGTACCCCTCAGGCTTGGAGCCATGAATTTAAATTAAAATCAATTATTCAAATGTCACTTCAAATAATTTTAAAAGCATATTGGTTTCAGTAATTCAAAACTGGCCCATTGGCGTCTTTTGCTAAAACGTCTCACAATAGAGAAGAGAGGTGTGATGCCAGAATTCAAATTTGTGAAATTATGGGATTGGTTCAGCATATTCAGAAAGAAAAATAGGAAAATAGCCTTCCTTGCCAAAAATCAACTGTTAGTGCAACATGGTAAAGAGAAGTAAGCACCAATTTGACCTGATGACTCTCTGCAAATCCTTCATAAAATTGGCTTGGATCGTAACATTAACGACAGAAGCTTATTTTAGAGCTATTAATATGGAGTTATTCGAGCAAAACGTGGCTTATATCTCCTCACCAATTTGCCCCAAAAGGCTGATTTTTAGCAATGAACATTTTTATCTTGGTCTTTCTGGACATTCCAACCAATCCCATAATTTCAAAAATTTTAGCCTGGGACCAGGCTCCGCAGTGGAGGAAAGCGCAAAGATAACCGCTCGCTCGCCACTATTTTTTCGCTCCCTCGATTTTTCTTTTTCACCTTTTTCTCCCACTACGGAGCCTGGTCCCAGGCTACATGAATTTAGATTTTTGTAGCGTCATCACTTCTTTTTTCTGTATTAGAGAGCTTTATTTTGATGAACTGTTGTCATCTTTTCAAAACAGCTAAAAAGGCCTCATGAGGAACATCCACTCTTCCTATTCTCTTCATTCGTTTCTTTCCTTCTTTCTGCTTTTGTAAAAGCTTCATTTTCCTCGTTATGTCACCGCCATACTGCAAATAATAAATAATCAATTTAAATAACTATAATAATAACCAATCGTGAGAATGTAATGTCCCCTCCCTCCCTCCCTCAAGTACAGGTGACGCGTCCCACTGAGTCGTGATTTGGGGATTTAAGATTGAGATGTGCAGTCGGCGCGTGCGTAATACAGTCAAACTTGCGTATAAGAGGTCTTCCTTCACACAAGCTGATCGATCACTTATACAGGTTGACAGTTCGATAGAAGTTAAAAAAATCATTAACTTGTTGGAACGGTTAGTAATTTACCGCTTAATTAGAGGGTGACCGTTGACTACAGTTTGAATAAGTATCTAGAAAAATGTAACAACAATAGGCGTTTCCCTTATATGAAGCATCTTGTCAGGAAAGACTTGTCAGGAAACGAACAAACAAAAACGAAAATCGTGTGAGTGACACACATACGCAAACACAAATTCATAAAACACACACTAAAAAAAAAAATTAAAAACTACAAGACGTAAATAAGAAGCGATTGCGATAAACATTTGGATAAAAAATACTGCGCTAAAATGTTTCTCATATTAAAAAAAAAAGTTAAAAACGACGACGTTTCGACGTTCAACTAATGTCATTATCAAGTCAAAAAATAAGTGTCTGTTGTAGAGTATAAAATGGTACAAATGGTAAAACTTACGCATTTTGCAGTGACGTCTTTTCTGAGTGCTTTAATCCTAGAAAGAGAAGATTACAAACTGTTAAGAAACAGAAGGAGGAAAAAGATCAAAGCGAACAAGAAAGCTGCAACCGATCTACTCAGCCTGGCTGTAGTCTTTAGTATTTGATTTGCTCGGTCATGTCCGACTGCATGTAGGATTTCTTCGATCGGGAGAAAATTTTAGTTGGATATTGTTAGCCTACACTGAAGGCGTTTTTTTTTTTTATAGGTGTGCGAGTTTTTTTTTCTCGCGTAATCGCCATGTTGAACCCGTCACTCTTCTCTCCGGCTCAATCTAGCCTGCGTCCGTCGTAGACGACAGTCTTAATCCCTGATACCAGCTGCAACGCAGGCTACCTCCAACCTTCCTGTCATAAAATTGAAGAGAGCGGCTACAGTGTTGTGAACATAAACAAGGAGCTTTCGTTTGCCCTTAAATAAGGCATACATTGCAGGCTAGGCCATACATTGTTCGCTGACCGACTATAACTTGCAGCTCTGGAAAAAGGCGCGACATGACGCACAATGTGTTGTGCCAATGACGTTAAAGAAGACGCTACGTATTCAAATGTACAATTCTTACGTTTCTCTTGCTGTAATCTTTCCTCTGATAGAAGCTTGGATAACCACTTCAAATAGCTGCCTAAAGTGGACAAAAAAATCAAAATAACAAAGAACATTGAAAAGCGCTGGACGAAGCGTTAGTGTCTCTCTTTCTCAACTCTTTGTATCAGACGATAGCAGGGAGGTGCTTTTATAAATTCGACTGCACAGTGTATAGGGCTGAGGGAGGGTAACCCAAGAAATCCACTTCTGATACATTTCTTCTTCTTGTTTGCACGTGTTAACAATGCATAAAAAGTCACACCTCGCTTCTCTTTTTTACTTTGTTTAACGGTTTGAACAGGCCGTACGCAGGGTAATAAAAGGTGGGATCCATCACAAAAACTAAAATATTGTGGTTGCTGCTTGGTTAGAAAATCCGCGTTGCTCTCGATTGGAATTAAAATGGAAAATCACAACAACACACTTGTGAGCTGCCGTGCTATACCTTGGAATGACGTCTTTAAGTTTGGCGCACAGCGTCCGTCCTGATTGCACGGCTTTGTCTACATGTACTATACAGCTTAACGCGTCAACTGCATTTCCGTTTATCAGAATATCCATCTGTTAAAATAGATACAATAAAATCAATTATAATGATATAAAGAATTTCGCTGCTTTTCATCAGCAGTCTATAGATAGCTTTCATAAGTAGAACACTTCAGAAAAGACGCGGCTTTCCTCCGTGAGCAGATCACTATTTAATATTTGGCAGCAAAACCTACCCTCACTATATTAGTTTCTCTGTAGCCTTCATCTTCATAGTCAAAGCTGAAACGAAAATGGCAACCTGAGAATCTCCGGTTGTGAAGATATATATTGATTTGTAGATGCAGACTTTAGAATATTTCAACTACTGAAAAATATGTGGGATCACGGTTGGCAGTAAAGCCTCGAAGAGCGCCGCAGGGCTGTCAGCCACCAATCCCTGATGTAAAAAGATTTTTGAAACACGGTCGCGTGGACGTTGAAAGGTGTCAGATCCTGTTCAGGATCTGGCGTGTTACTAGACCAATCTCAAAGTCAACACTACTTCAGAAATACCCTAGCATTTAAAAGCTGTTACACAGCATCAATCTTTCCTCGCCCTGTCCCAGGGTGGAACCATCTGCCTCTTTATGTTCAAAACGCTTCTTCTCATGACTGCTTTAAGTCCTCCAAGTGTGCATACATATCCCATGTTTTGCACACTGGAGGTTGAACTTAGTTTTAAAAAACAAACCTTGCATATCCAGAGGACTGAGATTTGAGTTCGTCGTAAAAGTCAACGATAATTTCGCTCAGCGGTAACAGGTATTTCAGCATAACACGAGACTCGTCTATGTACAGCACCTCTTGCTGCTCACCACGCCTACTCTGAAACAAACAAGTGACAAGAAAGAAAGGGGAAGCAACATCAATGCCGTTCTTAACCAAAAAGATGACTTGTATATGGCAGGAAAAAAATAAAGGGAAAAAATCTAGGGCCTTGATGCGCACTTTGATTATCACAAAAAGCGGAGATGCTCAAGAAATGGACAAGGATATTAAGTACAAGGATTGAAGAGAAGGACGGCGATGACTTTCGGACGGGGAAGGGATGTGGCCCACATTACTGTCGCAGTCAGCATGTGTTGCTTGTTGCCAAGCTCAGTGGACCCTAAAACGGCACATGCGCGGTTAATACATACAGTGTATAAACAGACTCCTCATTCGCGAAGTCTTCACTTTTTGAGCGTGTGTGCAAGTCATCTTCCTCGTGTTGAGTCGACGCCTTCTTGCAGGATATAGAACTAATTTCGCGCAAGCTTGCGTGACTGCCTGTTCATCTATACTAACCTCACAAAGCGTAAGCATTTTTCCCATACATTCCTCAGGGAACACTATTGTGCCCAGTACATATGGCTCCTTGTACAGTTTCACTTTCGAGTGATCAGGGAGCTGTAAATGCAAGTTTTAAGTTGTACTTAGTCCACTAATTTTTGTCAACAGCAGTCTTTTTTGGTTTATTATTTCATCAAATCTATTTGAGTTCCAAAATGCGACTTTCGAAACCAGAAAAAAAAAATACACAAAGTAAGCAGCTAAAAAGCAATTTACCTCTAATGGGTTTAGAACCTCTACTTCTCTTTCCTCGTTGCCTGCTAAAATTGCTGTCAAAAGAGAAACGCAAAGTTAAAAAAAGACTCCCGCGGCTCCAAGTAAGCAAATTTTCGAAGTCTATCTTTATAGCTACAAGTACCTTTGTAAGGAACGTTTGGAGATGTAACAATAACAGATGCATCGTACTCCTGAAAGCAAAGAAAGCGCACATGTGATACTAAAGGATTCATTTTACAAAGAGAAATATGTTCTCTAGTACAATAGAGTTTAAATTACAAGTAGAAATAGAACATACCTGCTCAAGTCTTTGTTTGAAGACGTCCATATGCAGCAAGCCAAGAAAACCAAGCCGCCATCCCTGTCCTAGTGCAAGGCTAAAATAATTAAAACATTTTGTTCCGATGAGCTTACCTTAGCTGAGGACTGTGCAGTACCCACTTTCTTTCAGTTAGCGGAGTGAAACGCGTGGTAGAAGATAATGGCCACGCGTGTGACCTAGGGCGGGAGACATGTGAGGCGCGCGTGCGCAACCCCATTTACTAGATTTCACAGTTCTTGGCAGGGTAATCGCAACAGCGTGAAACCAGTTACTGTGGGCCCGTGATACTCCCCCCCCACCCATGAAAGATTGACCATTCTACCGGGGTCTTCACCGCTCTTGACCGGGGAAAGGACATTGTACCTTCTTGTCTTGCATAAAATATTTAAATACTCCGTGTAATAACTATATCGCAAAATGGAATGTGATTTTTGTGATCCTGAAGATCTTTTAACAAATTCTGACAGAGGCAATGTTTGTTATTCGTAATAAACTATGCTACTGGATATCTATAATAATTAAACTCCATACCAGCAATCAGGGTGAACAGAAACACTAGCATCATTAAGAGTGAGCTTCTCGATAGCAGATCTTAAGTACATATGCTCTGATTGATCCACGGGGTAAACGCCAGCAAATACCTATCGGTGAATAAAACACAAAGATATCAAAACAATTCTTTGACAGAGCTGTAAAACTATCTCCGACATTCTGTTATTATGAGTGGCCGGGCAACAGATCAAACAGTTAGGAGGAAATGTTGAAAAGAAGTCAAGCACCACAGAAAGAGGAAAATAGAACTGATGAGAAAATCCTCGTCTTGAAACAATAATTAAAATCGCCTATAACACACAGTACTAAAATTTGTAACATTCACTATTAGTTTTTGAAATTAATGTTCGTATTTGAGTCTGTCCTTGCAGCTAACCTGAATGTTATTGTTTTCTATTATTCCATCTGTTTGTTGATTTCTTTTTCTTGTATGTTTTATTTGACTGTTCATCTTACCATAGCCGCCTCTTACAGGCCGCATTCAGATGGAAACGCGTTACGTGAGTAAGGGTGGTGCAGTGGTGAGAGCACTCAACTCCCACCAGTATCACCCATGTTAAAATCCCGGCGAGGAAGCAATATGTGAGTTACATTCGTTGTTTGTTCTCTCCTTTACTGCGAAAGGTTTTTCTCCGGGTATTCCGCTCCGGGTACTCCGGTCTTGTCCTCTCCTCAAAAACTAACATTTCCAAATTCCAATTCATCCAGGAATCATCAGTTAGAGGAAGAACCACTTAGTGGATGTACCACCTCTAAATCATTATTTAGAATACTTACTTTTAATTATTTATTTACTTTATTTATTTATATAGCGTACGCGGCTCCTCTCCATTTTTGATCTCGCACTTTACTATATGAACACCTGGAAAAAGGCCAATCTTACCATGGGCCTCGTTGGTTTAAACCCCCCCAGGGGAGGCACGGGAGCTTGCGGATGGAAAAACGTGTCACCAATCTGTGCGTCTTTACTATTCCTTATCCCACAAGCTACAAAGCCAACTTGGCCAGCAAAACTGTTGAGCAAAAATGGCATATTACCAGTGTGAATATATTTTGAATAGTCTATCCAAATATGTGATCTGCTGTTTTATAAATCTTACAGTGCACCAGTAGAGACTTCTCCCGGATACATTATTCCGACGTCCATAACTTCATAACTCTGCTTAGTGTAAGCAGACATAATGTCATCTCCTGAAATCATCACAAGAATAAAGGTTACTAGTAATAAAGCAATTCAGGATATAAAAACAAAAAAAGTGAAAAATCAATAAAACAAACAAACAAAAACAAAAAACATATGTTAGTACAGTGAAACCTGTATTAAGCGGACACCGTATTAAGCGGACACCCTCTATTAAGCGGACAGTAGCCGAAGTCCCCAAATTTATTTCCCTTATTTACTTTAAATGAAACCTTTATTAAGCGGACACCTCTATTAAGCGGACGCGGACACCTAAAAAGTACCTGAAATGGTTATTTCTATTGTTGCCAACCTGTATTAAACGGACACTTGTGATTAAATTCCACCACCCAACACGCCAGACACCGGAAATGCTAAAGATTGCCTCGAATTGTCACCCACAAATTTTTCGATTTTTACATTAAAAAACGTGACTTAACGAACTTATTTGATTAGTTCCACAGTACAGGATTGTTTTCAATTTCGTTTTGTTTGTATAGAGCTTGTTTCACTCATCTGATTTCTTCAAATTTGAGTTCCAATTCATGTTTATGGTACTAGGATCAATTGGTTCACTTTGATAAAGAAATTAATGCAAACGTCTATCGTCATAGTCTCTGGGAGTATTATAAACGCTTCCACTGTTCATTTGAATGGCATTTGACGTTATATATCGAAACCTGTATTAGGCGGACACCCTGTATTAAGCGGACACCACAGCATTCCCCGAGAGTGTCCGCTTAATACAGGTTTCACTGTAAATGCAATGGTTATTATGATGATAGATAAGACAAGTTGTACAGATAAGTGTCATTAGACTGAGGTTGATGATTGGCATTGCGCAGATGAATGTGTCTCAAATCAAACTGATCTCCACCTTTTTTAAGTGATCCATCCAGAATTGCAACAAGACAGATTACTCCTCGATACTGATCATACCATGAGTCAAAAAGAAGAGCTTTTAATGGCGCGGTTGAATCACCCTGAGGGCTAAAAATTCGCACAATTATCAGTTGACAACCAATAAGATTAAAATGGAGAACAACAATAAAGGGGCAGTCTTTCTTGAAAAGTTAACAGAAGTGTTTGTATCAGAAGAACGTTCTTTACCTTTTAAGTCCAAAAAGTGACCAACATCAGTTTTCTTAGAACAATTCAGTCAATACACAATATAAAGCATTAAGAGAATCAATAACCTGATTAGACTTTATCTTTTATGGAGATCAGTTTGGAGAATTTGTATTTTGATATTGGGGCTTATTGGTCAGACAGCGACCCGTGATCTCACTAAAAGTTGCCTTAACAGTATGGCATGAAAACTATAAATTAAAAAGTGTTTTTGGTTATAGGGAGGGAGGAAGTGGACTGAAACAAGCTGTAAAAAATGTACAATTTTTTCTGTTAAATATTTAAAGATGCAAAAGAACTATGTAACTTATATTGTTTTTACAAACGATAATAGGCAACAAACAGCCCACGTTTTCCTCAGCCTATCTTGAGTGAATTTGCTGCTTGAAACTTGCTGCTTTTGTGTAACCAACACCACTCCACCAACGTTTAAGAAAAATGCACAGAGACTGCTGACATGAGTCTAATTGAACTGTACAACAATCATGTTAACTTACCAAGGAAGATCTTCAACAACAGTCTCAAGGATGCTTGCTATTCCAGTGCCTGTTTTTGCTGAGATCTGCAGTGATTGGCCATAAATTCCCATGTCAGAATGTCAAACAAATCAAGAAAATTATACAAAATGAACGCACATGTATTAGCACTCTAATTATTAATAAATAGATTTAGAACTGTACGGTATTTTTTCCCTTTCCTTTGGTAAGGTTTAGCTCAATTTTTGCTATGAATCAGAAGAAATTTCAAATTTAACCAGTTTGATATTTCTCCTTTGATTCTGATTCTGACTTATAGTCCTGTGGGAGCAGAGCCTAGGGGTTATGGAAAGGAGGAAAAAGAAGACTCTCTCTCCTTACTTCTGTATGTCTTCCCATCAAACCCTGCACACCACCATGAGAGGTTCAACAGAGAAAACTGGGGTCAAGTCAGATTCAGATTCATAACCACAATTCAAGGGAAAAACAGTGAAATTTATTAATTATGATTATATGTAAAAGCTGAACTACAAAAAAATTGATTTATTAACAAATCAGTCAAACTTGGTGAGCACTCTTACTAGTGAAAAATAACACATGATCATTCTGCCTGATATCAATGGACTTGACAATTTGTTTGCTGATATGACAAATGTCTTGCTTACAATTCATATATAAGACTCCTCTACCATTTCATTATAAAACCAGGCCAATCGGATTGCAATACTAAACAATATCAATTTTAAAACAACGAAAAGAAATGGTTACCAAGCCTATTAGGCACTCTTTTTGTGGAGAAAAGTTGCCCATGTAGAAGGGTCACCCGCCTGCCCAAGCTATCAAGCTTTCCTTTCAAAATGTGGCAAACTGTTCACATGAGAAACAAAAAATGGCTCAGGTCACTCTTTTGTGATGCTAGAGTCACCCTCCTTAACTATACCAACGTTTCACTTTGGCTCACCAATCAGGGTCAGCATGGTCAAAGCAAGACAATTGGAGCAATGTGCAAGCCTTTTGGCTCCAGCAAAGGGGCCAACTTTGTTCTCATATAAACACTTGCTAAAGGTGACTTGACTGAGAGAGTGAACCTTCTACTCGGGACAAGTTTTCTCCATATAAATGGGGCCTTACATGAAGGCAGAAAACAATATATAATCGGTGATTAAAACATTGAAAATATTTTCTATTTATTAATTAAACACAACACAACATTGTTTCATTCGTCTTCCAATGAAAAGGTTCTCACCTTTAAAACTTCATCCTGTGTGATATCAAATAATTTTTCCATTTGTTTTGAAACACTATCAGGATCTGCACTCTTTAAGTCTATCTGTAAATGAATATCAAATATTATTTAATAAATTATTGAATAAATGAAATTGTATTGATATCCAAATGTGAATATGGAAGTGACATCCAACTTCTGCTCAGAGGTAATTAACTCTAAATAAACTAAAAAAAAAGCCAGCAAATGACTGTATGACTGGGATCACTTTACATTCTAAAGTGGTGGTTAATTTGGAATCAAAAGGAAAAAATATAACCTTGAAATAAAATTGGACAAACTGGTAATAGTACACCTGCTACATACACCCGCATATAAGAAAAAATGGATTAAGAACATCAGGCTGAAATTTGGCCCATAAAGGACCTGCATATAATTATATAAGAACCAGTTCAGCCTGATAAATAAAACATGTTCTTATCAAGGCTGTACTCTAAGAAAAATTGAAGTGAGCCCCAGTGCTCTGAACTTGTGAAATCCAGTGTGCCCAGCATATATGACTTCTATGAAAAAGTAAAGATTTTCGAGTCACAGGAGAGCAAAAGTTTGGTGCCATGGGCCACCGGGCTCTGCTTGAGCACAGCCTTGCTCGGAGGCAATAAATAGCTGCTAACTTAACCTACGAAGGTGTAGACTTTTGCAGATATATCAAAAGCAATACCTTGTTAAGTACTGGGATTATGTGCAAATCCTTATCGAATGCCAGGAAAAAGTTTGACACTGTTTGTGCCTGAACACCCTAAGAAAATAAAAAATGTACATTTACTGATAATAATAATGATAATAACAATAATAATAATAAGAAGAATAATATGATACTGATTGACCTGTATGTGCTTACAACAAGAAATTTAAATCAACATAAAACTGAATTTAAAGATCTTTAGTTGGTACGTTTACTGATGCATGGTACACACGTAAATAGTTTTTAATATATTATACATTACTTGCTTCCAGCATATCTACAATCTTGAGTTCCCTAAAATTAAATGAAGTCAATGTTCTTGTTCATGTAAATGTTGTTGCTTATTTTTTGAGGGTTGAAAAATAAACTCACAGAGTTAACATTAATTCAGGTTTTGAATAAACTGAAAATTCTCATACAAATTCAAGGATATTCAACTTTGTATTTAATCTATAACAACAGTGTAAATCCAAGCCTGTACCTGTGATGAGTCAACAAGAAGAATAACTCCCTGACAAGCAGCAAGTGATCTTGATACTTCATAACTAAAGTCCACATGGCCCTACAATTTAAAATGTATACTTCGTTATCATGCAGTTATTATAAACTTTTAACCAACTGACTCAATTTAATGAAATTTCCAATAATGTAGAAAAGAGAATCGGGTAAGACCAAACCGTTAAGTAAAGTCTATAAATATTGAAAGAGGTTTACAGGAATATTGTTGTTGTTACTTCAATTAATAAGTCATCCACAGATTAATATACATTCATAATCATTGTAAACATGTATTTTATTAAACAGAGGCAAAATCACCAGCTCCCTCCCTCCCTTCCCCTCATTCCTCTGTCTCTCTTTGCAAGGGGCAAATTATTTTCATCTAAATTATTACAATGATGACTGAGTTTGATCAACACTTACAGGTGTATCAATAAGATTTAATAAATAGGTTTCTCCTTTATAGTTGTAGAACAATGATGCAGTCTGTGCCTTGACAGTTATTCCTCTTTCTCTCTCAACTTGCAGTTTGTCCAGCACTTGTTTGTTGTCACTGTTTCTTGATATTGTGCCTACAATAAAGATGATATAAATAACACTGTCAGCAAGTATACTAGTTATCTTTTTTCAACTACCTAATTATCTACAGTCACTAGGTGTGTTTTAGACAAATTAGTGACTGGATCAAATCGACCCTGTTAACAACATCCCTAACCTCTTTTCAGCTAGTGTCAATTACAGGGGTTGATCTGCCTTTTAAGTTTAGTGACCCGGAGTTTGTTGTTTTATTTGGTGACTATACCAGTTATAACTACCACATAAACAACTATTCATTCATAAATCATTTGTGAATATAAACAATAATTATAAAACAAAAACAAATTTTAAAACTGCCCAGGCATGCAGGCAAAGCCAGTGTTTCTGTGAACATCTCTTATTAAAAAAAAATGCTGCCCTGACGTCTAAAAAAATCTGAAAACTCTTTTATAAACAATGCATCATAATTAACTGAACACATTATTAAGACAGTCATTATGGTAATAACATATTTTTGGAAAATACATGTACATCAGTACCTGTCATTTCAAGTAATCTGTCAGCAAGGGTGCTTTTTCCATGATCAATGTGAGCAATGATACTAAAGTTCTTTATTTTTGAAACTGGGAACTGTGACATGTCAATTGTATCCTACAACAATAAAAAAATAGGAAGTTGTGAACTCAAACAGAAAAAACCCTCTTAGTGATCAAGAACATAACAAAATTCATTTATTTAATAATTATCAAGCTAAAACATTCGTCAGTTGGTATAGGACAATCTTTGAAAATACACAGGCCTCACTATAAACAACAGAATTTTCATATCACTCTTTAATAGTAATAACTTACCAGGTAATGTTTAAATATGGTATGAACATTTTTTTTTGACTGCAGGATTGATCTCTATGCAGTTCTTCAGGTTCAAAAATTATAATGTAGCCTTTGGTATCTGATCTCTCGGGTCATGTAGTGTAATTACAATAACTACGTGTACTGTATTTTGTTGGACAAAATTTATCCTGATTCTGTCCAATGACTGTCTGCTATTTGCAGTTCTGTATACAAGTACCTTTCTTGACATCCCATGGTTTGTTGACAGACTGTATGTTCTCCGAAAGTGATGAGTAAATGAAAAGCTGTAAATTAATAAATCAACAATAATTCAACTAAATATGTGTTTTTAAAAAAGAGCAGTCAAAAATTAAGATATATTCTTTTGAATTTTGTACAGAAGAATGAGGCTAGTCAGGCTAATTTTAATTTACTGGTAAACAAAAGAATATTAACCCAGAAGCTTACATTTTTGCATTTGTTAATTTCAGCCATTTTTATTGTTATACCACCCTCCTGTTTTTAGATGAGTGTCTTCAGCCAATTAGAACTAGCTAACTACCATTTAGTTAACAAAAAATAAGGGGGTTAGGGACAGTTCTGATTTATATGTCCTAGAGTAAACTGTTGAAAAACCATACCCTTCACAGCGGCACATAACTATATAGCTCACATATGGCAGTACCCGCCTCCCCCCCCCGGGATAAAAAAAAAATAGGCTTAGCGAGTATATTAATTAAACTAGTAAACAGGCAATTTAAGTTAAAAAAAATACACCGATACCTTACCTATTTGGGGATCGTGTATCATGTTGGGAGACTCTGCTTGGTAAACTGTATCCCTTCCTCGTTTTGTCAAGGAAACCATTTTCCCCAGTGCAAAACTTGACCGGGCAGCTCAGCAAGGGTGATCTCGTAAAAATCTCTCTAGTTGCAGCCCTCTTTTGTCTGCAAAACTGAATTAGCATTTCTACACTTCATTGCATCTCAAGCTTTTCAAATTCATCTCAGATTTCTCTCCTAAAATACGGCAAAGTGTAAGAGAACACAAGGCGGAACGCTTGTTCAGTCTACATGTATTCCGCCATTTTTAATTTTCTTCAAACCGCTGGTTGAATTGGGAGCCCGCGCTGTACAAATATCAAATTTGATTGGTCAATTCATACAAGGCAGCCAATCACAAAGCGAAGTGACAACAACTGAAAACCATCAGAGGGAAGTTTGAAATAGCAAGACAAGCGAAAATCGTGATGGAACTCGCAAAAGAAGAAGAAGTTTACAAGTTTCTTAAAGAAGAAATCATTCGGTTAAAGGAAGAAAATGAAGGTCTGCAGCAGGACAGGGAATTGGCGGGGGAACTTGGAAAAAGTCTCCTTGAGAACAATCACGAATTGGAAAGAAAACTTGAAGAAGTAAACAACGATTACATTTCAACGTTGGGAAAAATAGAGGTAAGCTTAGTTTACACTTAAAAATTCCACTATTTTTGACCACTAACGTTTAAATTGATAGGTAAAACGTTTATCCTGCCTTTATTTCTTTCCACAGGAGCTGAAGCAAGACAATCATACTTTGCGATCAAAGTTGGAAACCGAGATTCGGGCCAATTCAAATCATGTTCACGAATTGGATGACTTAAAGGAAAAATTACGCAAGGAATTTGACGAAAAGGAAAAATCTCAGCAGCTACTCACGGAAAAAAAGGTCAATGATCTCCGAAAGGAAATAGAGTCTTTGCAGAACGATGTCAGCAAGCACACGCTCGTGGAAAATCAACTACAGGAAAAGAGCAAGAAACAAGAAGAAATGTTACGAAAGGCTTATCAAAGCAATGAGGAACTGCAACACAAAGGAAGGTCCAGGTTGGAAAGCATTGAGGAGTATGTAAATCTTACTGCTGAACTACAGGGAGAACGAGAAGTTTTAATGATGAAATTAGCGGATTATGAAGATAACCAGCAGAGGATGTTATTCGATCAAAACGTGTTAAAAGAGAAAGTTGGGTATCTGGAAGAAGAACTGCAGGAGAAGACTCGCCAAGCACATACTTGGTTAAACTGTTTACAGGCAAGTATGAAATATTCAAAACTCAGGGAAAATTTAAGAGCAATATCAAAATCCCAAAAGTTCAGTTCTTTGTGATATTAATAAAGAAGAGTTAGACTGTAGAACAGTCCGTATTTTTGCGTATTCAAGTACGCGCGAACACTGTCACGCAAAAGGTCTGGACGGGGAGAGACGCTAACTTACGCCAGGCAACGCCAAGCGACCGCCAGGCTTTAACGCCAGGCTGCGCCAGGCTCGATCATGGATAATGGAAAGACCTTTTTATAGACCTTGTCACGGGCGTTCAGATCGTGGTGACGGAGCAAAGAGACGTGAGCAGAAAAAAACGCGCCACACTCCACTATCCACAAGCGCACACTCCACTATCCGAACGCTTGGAACAGGCTAATTACCTTGTACATGTACATTGGTAGCATTGCAGCCTGTTCTAATTTCCAGGATGTAAGATTATTTACTCAAAATTTATGTTGGCTTGAAAGAAATCATGGTAAATTTTTGAGTTAGCCTGTGAACAATGCAATGATAAGTATCCGCTCATCATTTCACACCACTCTCCACTATAATCTGAATACCTGAAACAATTTTATGCAGTGAGCTGGTTAAGAAGCACCAACCTGTGAATACAGCTGTCTCTTAGTACTCTCTATCATCCCAGCAACGAAAAGCAAAGAGAAGTGGAGGTATATTCACAGGCTACACCCAACGGAATTTTTTTTTGGCAGAAAGGTAACCAATCCCAAGAAAGCATACCTCCGACATAATACCTACTTACACGGGGTGGGGTGGGCTGAACCCTAAAACCACCTTACATGGGTCTTGTTATCAAATGACGTCAAAACACTGTTGGAAGTCATGGTGTACTATTCCAGGTTGGCATCACTTTTAGCCTTAATCGTCCTCGCAGGCTATATAAAAAACTAATTATATGGTATGTCCGTATTTTTAGTGTCGACAGTGGGTTACGGCTTTGCCTCTTTCTAAGCCTTTTGTCTCTCCCCCTCCCCCCCCCCTTAACAACCTGTGCATGTATCTTTAACCTAAAAGCAATACCAAGCCCTTCCTTATGTCTTAAATTTATTTTTATGTATAAATGATGTGTCTTTTGACAACCATCTTAAAACAGGACTCCCGCCTTGAAGCAGGTGAACTTAAAGCTGAATTAGAAAACCTGAAAGCTGACAACGCCAGGAGAAACTTCGGGAAACAAGGAAACTCATTGTTTGGAGAGGTACGGAGTATATTTCATTTCTTGCACGCAAGTCCTAATAATCATTGTTTTTGTACTCTGTATAAACATAACACTTTTAAACTTCTGTAGGTGGAGGACAGACGGCTTGAACTTGAGAAGAAGTATTGCAGTTTACAAGCCAGACACGAAGGGATGGTCAAGATACACAATATGACAAAACAACATTTGCAGAGGCTGAAGGTAATGTCCTAAATTGATCAGCACCGCACTGAATATATTAGCCCGCAAAACAGGTGATATTTGGCGACCGAAGCAGATTTGGACTCCCACTCGAACCCTCTGTTCAGAAACTATCGAAAAATTACAGTTATTTATTCGACGTGCAGCATTTTGTCTGTTTGTTTCTTGTTGTCATTGTCGGCACAATTGCATTTTATGAGGGCAATAAAGCGATCAATAATTTAATACGTTCCTATACTTTCTTTTTGTTTGAAGAATCAAGTGGCCACTCTTCTTCAAGTTAAAGGCTGTCATGCAGATGCTTCTCAGATTCAAAGGTTGACCCAGGCGTTGGTACAGAAGGAGGGTGAAGTAAAAATACTGAACTCTAAAATATCAAGTTTGGAAAAACAAAAGGTAGTGTGCGCCACATTCAACGTTTGCTTTCAGTTTTTCAGCTGTAAACCTGTCCTCTGTGCCCAGGCATACAGTAATAGTTTTAAACTATTCGGGGGAAAGGAAAAAAAATCTGTAGCACGGATTTCCTCGTTGTTGGCGTACATGTACATTGCCTTGACGGAACTGATTTAAATACTGGGTCTATCGGTCTAGGGTAGCTTAAATGTGATGGAGCTCCGTCTGAGTGTTAACCAATCGACGGCTTGGAAAATGTGTGACTCCACTATTAGGTCGCCTCGAAAACGGCTCCTTCCCATACAACGGTTGCGTAATAACGGCACGAAAACATTTCAACATCATCCATACAACGTGTGGCTTTATATAGCAATCTAGCGAATTCTCGACCTTTGGGTGAGATGACCATTACCGTAATCTGTCTTGAGAATTGCATCTTTTTACCAGCAAATCTGTTTCTTATTTCAGGCGGGAAGCAGCATGAGTGACCGTTTGATGGAATTTCACGATGCTTTTTCCGAGTTTGGTGATAAGAAGGACTACGTAAACTTCCTTCAGTTGCAATTGGAAGATTCGAAGTAAGTCTTAATGAACAACAAAAAAATTTATAGCGGAGCCTTGTGTTTAGAGGATAAAAAAACTGTTAAGCCCTCCGAGCTCAAAGACCTTGACTCACACTTAGACAAGGAGATCAGTTGTTTTCACTATTGACGGAAGTGGTGGCTATTCCACAGGTTTCTCTTGAGTGTAGCCAGCTCTTGGGTAGGTTTATACGTCTTTGTCTTCTGCATCCTCGGAGACCCAGGCCTGGCAGTAGCTGGTTTCGGGAGAAACGTTTCCGCCTCTTTCTACCGCCCTGTGTTTGCGAGGATGGTCTCCCTGCGGTAAGAGAGAGAGAGAGAGAGAGAAAAGAAAGCTTCTCAGTTGTTCACGCGGAGCGCTACTACTACACTACTCTCTACTCAAACGTCTTTTTTTATGTCTGGACGAAAAAAAGTTATATTTTGTTTTGTAGGAAGACTGTGGCAGGATTAAACAAGGAACTGCAGAACAAAACTTTACTGCATTTGGCGGAGACAGACAGGCTTCGTCACACAGAGCATCAACTTCACGCTTCTGAATCCAAAGTGGAAAGACTAAACAGCGAAAATATCAAGCTAAGGCTTAAAATCGACGATTTACGAATGAAACTACAAAATCGTAAGTTGTCGATATTTTAGCGCTGCTTACCTAAAATTAATTGTCGCAAAAAAAAGTTCTCATTGACTTTACCGTTGTCAGATTCGTAAGCGGCTATTCTTGCTCATCCGGAGGGTAACCCTGTTGCAATCCCTGGTGTTGCCCCCTCCCGTAAGCGACCACTTAAACCGATTTTCGTTGTAGTCGTTTACAAAAGAGTTAACTAAAATCTCATTCTACGTTAGATTCTCAGGGCATAGCTCAGAATGCGTCTCAACCACAAAACATCAATAGATCTGTGGGGAAGGCAAGATCGGCCGCCGGGTTCACTGACGCCAACACAAGTCTTGAGCAAACAGCGCCGAAGAAACAACGGCAGGACAATTTGGAACCGAAAGCTCGGCCGATAAAACAGGAACCGCTGGGTGTCAAACCCAAATTAGACGAGTCGACAAGTGTGAAGTTTCCCAATGTCCCATCAATTCTCCAAAACATGCATGTACCAGATTTAGAAAAACCGGCTAAAAGAGAGGAGAACAGCAAACTTTTAACTCCAGTTCAAGCTGGATCAATTGCTTGGAATTTAAACTCATCGAAAAATTTGGCATTATCAAATAACAGCGATGAAAAAGGCGTCAGGATTGAAGAAAAGTGTGAAAAGAAGACAAGGGTTCACTTCCCTGAAACCGCCGACAGCCTCTGTTCTACAAAGATGGATACAAGCGATTTAACACAGACTCAAAGTGTGGTGGAAAATGCTCACATGGAACTGAAGAAAGAAAATTGTCATCCCAAGGTAATTATAGACTATCAAAAAGATCCTGCGATCGCTTAGCCCCCGCGCGGCCTTATAAGGTCGCTCCGCTTGCTTAGAATCTCGTGAGGTCGACTTGTAGCAAGTCTAAGGTAATTATTCACGTTTCCATCAAATGGAGTCGGTTATACTCAATGTAGACAACCGTAACCCGCCTCTATTGAAGGGAATGCCTCAGTGGCACGCATGGAGCGACCAGTGGTGGCTGTATTAGGAGGCTGAGTCAATCATGTTTTAAAACGGTGTGTGCAAATTCCAGCCCCTTGTACTTGTATTTTCTACGCGAATGTTGTGTTAATTTTTCAGGGAATGTTCTTTTCATTGTTCGATTCTGGTTTAGCTGGTATACGGTGTATACTTGAACAACCGAGCTAATATGGACGTAGTACATGGCCTTTTTCACCATCGTCTCTCTGTCGCTCGGAAAGGGGGGGGAAGAAAAGGGTGGAGTAGCCTGTTTTTGAACCCTGTCAGGGGCTCAAATTATTTTGTCATCCGCTCCTAACATGACAAACTCTACATATTTTTATCAATGTACACCAAGCTCGCTATTTGACGGTGTCGGTATATGTATATTTGTCTTATGTCTTTGCAAAAAGGCTGCCTGTGCTTAATATCACAGCCAGTATTGTTACCGTGAAGGAGCTAGTAATGGAGGATGCTTCCTGCTGATATATTTTAACACGTCACTATTCTGGGCTTGACTCTATCATTTTACCTGAGTTTTTGTCTCTGAATTTCAGAACTGTACTTCAGAGAATGGAAGCATTTCTACAGTCACCGTCAAAGGACAAAGAAACGCGCCAGTGGTTATAAATGTGAAAAAAGGCGAGGCCAAAAACCAGTGCCCACAGCAGTGAGAATTTACTGGATAAACAAATATAGGGTGAATCAATTTAAAGAAAGAAAATTATCTCTAATTAGTAGCAAAGGAACTAGTTATATTAACACTGGAGAAATTCCCATTTCAGTGTCTGTTTGAAAGCCAGAGGAAAAAAGAACTTGTAAGGGGAGCAAGTAAGAGTTGTGATGTTGTCCTGACCAAATTTCAGTAGCCTGCAGAACAGACGTTATGTTGTTTCTCAGGCGATTAACGGCAAGCGCGAGGCGGCCTGCCTTTAACTCTGCAGGCCAAATTTCAACAGCGATTGTAAGAGTTTACACTGAGTAAGCACCACATTTACGGCGACAAGGAGAGCTCAGCATACGAGTGCTAACAATATGTCAACGACCAAAAAGAAAAGTTTAATTTGTTTTTCATCTACACCAAAACCTTTTTTATGCTGAAAATGCTTAACTGCCGCAAGCCCAATTCCCCATTCCAGAAACCATAACGGGAATGGTTACATGCTTTCGGCGCAACGATTTCTGGGATTGTTTGGGTAGACAAGCATTACTTGTGAATGAGTAATGGTTGCTTTGAACACCATCAACCAATCATAACTAACGCTTGTCCAACCAAAAGATGCCAGAAATCACTGCACCCAAAGCTTGTATCCATTTTCCCTGGAGTTTCCAAAAAAAGCGGGAAAGATGTCACATAGTAACCAATGGCTTTGGGCGAGAAATTTTTACCAAAGCAACTGAATCCCAAAACGAAAACGAGGGCCTTGCGAAAAAAAAGACACAATTCAAGAACAAAGAGAAGGTGCAAACAGCCCGAAGTGTTTCATTTCGCTGGGATGTTACTTGTGTGTTTCTTGACGCTAACCAATCAGAAATAGCGGTATAAACCGTATACAGTATTGATAGATGACCAGGAGCAAGTGGTGGGCCAATCACGGCTTGCCGTTCCCGCGTTTGCGACCCGTTACTTGTTTTCACACTTGTTTTGACTGGTTAGCGTGTTTAATCATAATAATTGTGTGTTTTCAACTAGAATAATAGACCAAAAGTGAAATAGAATTCTTTCTACAAACACACAGAAATTTTATTGTACTTTAAACGGAAATTTGCCTTTACATATTAAGTTCAGATTCTAAACAAAAAGGTCAGTACAGTTTAATAAAGAAAAAAATAAGCGATAATCCATTAAAAATATTAACAATTGAACTTGGCAAATTTTTTGGGACTTTGTTCTTCTAATGAAACACGGAAACCTATACTTTCCCACAAACTACATGTATAACCGCGACGGAGTTAGAGCCAACCCTTACAAGTATTAAAAATGGCAAATAAAGATAGCACTCATCGTATATTTTTTTTTACAAAATAACTTAGCAGTTTGTTGCTCTCTAATTTTTCGAGAGCTGTCGCTTCCGCCCTACAGTCACAAACGCATGGACATATGCACAAAAAAATTACGGTGGTATTTTACACCGGAGTACCCAAAGTAACTATAAATAAAAATTAAAAAAAAAAAAAAGATGACGATTTTTTACGCAGCACTAAGCGTACTCGACCAGCGTACTTGGCTGAGTAAAGCCATCATCAAACGTGGTTTCACTTTTTTGGCTGAAAAGTTTCTTCGCCCTCCGCAGGCAAACACGTCTGCTTCTGCAGAAATGATGTCTTTTGACGTCTTACAGATGCAGCCCATTAAAGGTAGAGCACAATTTTGGTGTCATTGATTGTCTGTCAACAAAAGAGCAAAAACATCAATATTAGTCACGGAATGAAAATAAAGCAGATCACAGTAGGGACATTTAGGCTATGTTCACAGAACTACGGATAGCTTTTGTCCCGGCACGAAAACTACTAAATTAACGCGAAGGAGGAGGTAGAATTTCATAATAAAGGAAATTAACGCGATTAATTACGCGAAATCAAAGGAGAAGATATTGACATCACTTCTGACAGCGACAACGATGAAGATGAACTCGAAATATTGTAAACCTTCGCCTTAGCTGTTGTGAAAGATGAAAAATAAAGGGTGAATGGAAAGAGAGAAAGCTTGTAGTTAATGTTTTTTAGGTGTCAACGATGTCTGGACAGGTTCCAAAATTGGGGTTGAAATACTGGAAATTAAGAGCGCGGAAATTAACGCTACATTTAATTAACGTCGCGGAAATTAACGCTCAACAAAATTAACGCGAATTTTAACGATTCGCGTTAATTTCCTATAATAAGGTATACCAGATAGGGCTTCTGTTCACACATAAGAAACGAAGCAAAGCTGCGCCGCGTCGATCTCTGAAGTGGAAAGTCAAATATAACGGATAGCTAGGAGTTCATACTAGAGCGATTTTCGTATGACCTTGAAAAATGGTTGCTGTAAGTGTTCGTTATTTGTTTTTTCAGCCAATGGATAAAAAGATCAAAACATGGAGTCTTCGTTTTCCCGCCAAAGAAAACCCTAATATGGAGAAGGCATTGCTCGATTGACCAATCGTGTTGCAGTATGACGTCAAAGCGAAGTATCGGTTGATTTCTAGAACGTTCTTGGACGTGAAGTTTTTTCACCCGAGCGTTCGCTTAACCAACCAAAAGCCGCGCGCGTTTGTATCCATTCGATAAACCAATCAAATCGCTCTATTTTCGTTCGTTTGTTGTTTCTGTTTTGTTCGCGCGTTTTCATTTCAAGGTCATACGAAAATTGCTCTATACCGTCTAGTGTGAACATATCCTAAGGGAAAATAAGACGCAAACTGTCCCGTATACACTGCGCTTTATACGTACGCGTTCTATTTTTTCTCGTATAAATGGTCCTAATATCCTTATGACAGAGAGAGCGTTTGTAACCACACCAAGGTTCGATAATTTCGGGGTAGGTATATACTGCAGAAACCGGCAAATAAGGACATCAGAGAGACATGATTATGTGCCGGAATTATATTTACGTGTCGCTTCGCGGTATTTTTATCCACTAGTTTCACATCCTTGAGACGCTTCAAACGGTGTACGTTACCGGGAGGTTTTAATAAATGCAACTTCTCGAGGAGGAAATCCCACGTGGACAAACTACCGTAGTTACAGGGGTCAGGCGGAGGCATTCACAGACCTTCTGAGTAAGCGGAATCCGCGATAACAAGGTATAGTATTTTGGGGTACAGGTGCTCTTTATCTCCCAGTAGTTCACTGATTTCGGCAGCATTAGAAATTTCTGCACTGTCATCTTCATTTTCTTGAATAGACTGAAAACAACCAGAACATGAACCGGCATTAAAAGAGAAGTTGCGTATACAACGACAAAGTAACGGCAGACAGGACAAAATAAATAAGAAGAGGGATAGGTGAATTTATTCTATTTACTCAAGGTCACTAACACTGCTGAGTAAACTATACCAAAAAATAATGCATGCTGACTTTCAACGCACCAGGCACGACGCAGACCAGTTCGCCGTTTTGGTCTAGCAACAGAACGGGAAGGTCAGTTGACGACGGGAAAGCGCGCGGAAAGGACTAAACGCTACATCCAGTGCCAGCAGTTTGCCGCTCTCCATTGGTCAAGCCAGTTGTTTGACAGTTGTTTGATATGCGCACGCCGTCATCAACTGACGATCTCGTTCTGTCGCTAAATCAGCCTAATATGATTGAGTTTGATTGAACTCGGCACTACCATGATAAACCCCCAGCAATGCTTTGGAGAGGTACTAATTCGAACCTTAGCGACCTTTCGTTCTTTAGAATCGATTGAATGTTACTATTATACCTGAAGATATTTGTATACTCGCAAAAACTTGTCGAATCCTAATTCCTGCTCCAGCATCAGCCTTGACTCTTCAAGTCTGTGGAACAAACTCTCCTCTTCCTCCTGCCGCTTCCTCTCTCGCTCTTCCTTTTTGGCCGAGTCTTCCTCGTCATCATCGTCATCACCTGGAATTGAAAAATTTAAAGCAATAGAGTAATTAACGGAACTACAACTTTGCAGTACCTAAATTCGACCTTATATACCAGGCTGAGTGAAGCCCTACAGCCTCAGTTAACGACAACGATGTTATTTGAAATAATTGGAAAAGTCGCCATGGTTATAAAGTACAACCCTCTTTTAAAGGACACCTCGCTAAAACGGACACCTAGAGTTGGTCACTGCTTTTCTTTACTCTTTTCAGTTGACTCTCTAAAAGACGGACACAGTGCCGCTTTTAAAGGTGTCCGTCTACTCTTAGAGACAGTAGACTGTGATACTTATGAACTAATGACCAAGGCAAACCTAAACGTTGCGTGAAATCTTTGCAGTGGGATTATAAGAAAAATGCTTCACCTCGGAGTTTCAAGAACATATTGGATACAGGCAGGCAGAGGTACTTTCTATTTTGGTTTTTCGTAGACTGTCTATTTTCTTATTAATAAAAAATGATTCCGATTTCCATTTTCATACCTGAATCCCAATCTTCATTTAAGTTGGACAGCTCAGAGGAAGATCGCCCCATTTCCGCTCCGTCAAATTCATCTTCTCAGGCAAGAAAAAAATTATATTTCATTTTAGTTTGAGTTGTAATATTGCAGTTAGCTTATTAGGTTTTTTTTCTTCTCTCACTCTCCCCCACAGCCCCATCACTCCAGGCTCCGCCTCGATCATTTCCCTAGCTACTTGCTACAGCTGACTGTAAGTGTGGAAAAAAAACCGTTGTAGCTCGTTTTTAAAACTCTGAAGAATTAACTCACCAGATGACCTAAATTTAACCCCAGGGTTAATTTTCTGTTCAAGCACGTTTGTAATAAATACTACACGGGGGTCCTTCCGGCACAACATTCATATGTACCTTTCCTGAAAAACATCGGTTGCACCGAGAGACAGTGCATGATCATACTTTTTACGGCCAAAAAATAAGAAGACAAGAAAAAAAAATACTCTTTTTGTGGCCTAAGTTAATAGACGATACATCAGGATGCGATGGGCCGGCAAGAAGCTCTCACATTCTGCTCTCACGGAGCCACTTCTTGCTCGTCTTAGTTAATCATTTAATGTTAACTTGAAAATTGTAAAATCGACGCTGTTGAAAAGAATGTTTACCGACGTTTCGTTCAGCATCGCCGAAACGTCGGTTACGACTCTTTTGAACAGTGTCGATTTTACAATTTTTAAATTAACATGAAGTAACTTCGCTGTGTTAGTTAATGATATCTTTCGAGCATGACGTGTCTAGACCCTCCCCCATTGGGCGGGCAAGTGGGCTTTTAAAGTTACTTGAGATCAGTTAAGGGTTTTGGTAAACTGCCCACCTACCCCTTCCTTAAGCCAACATTTACACTTACTTCTCGCTTAGGACAAAATGTTGGCTTAGAGGAGAGGTAGGTGGGCAGTTTCCCAAAAACCTTAATTGATCCGTTACTTGCCTAGCAAGAAAATCTACTAGTCCCAGACGGGTTTTTTTTTCGAGCCCTGCATATAGACTTGAGAATGCAGATAAGTCAGTTCTTGAACCAACCAATCTCGCGAGGCAAATGACATGAAAGGAAATAATGGTAAGTTGTTTGAAGAACTCTAAACAACATTTCAATAACATTCTTCCCTTAATATCGCCTTCGTATAATCCATTCAATTATTCCTTGGTTAAACGTGCCGTTATTATCTCAAAGCACAAACTGTTGAAACATGAGTTAACTTGGTTACCCTGTGGGACGTTCGTATCCACACTGTGATCCCAGTCTAAACTATGAGATGTTCCACGCATGCCTTTCATGGGGGATGGAGAACGGCCTGAAACATAACATTAAATAACATGACTAAAGGATTTGGTTTTTGTTTATTTACAAACTTCCATTAGTCGTGAGTTGGTCGATATGGCTAGAAAACAATGGCTTAGTGTCATTCTTGTGCAAAACAATAAGCAACAGATTAAAGCCGTGATATGGTGATGTGTATTCAGTGATGTTTTTTGTTGTTGTTGAGTTATTGTTGGTTGTTTGCTTCTTCCTTGGACGGTAGTGTAAATATGGTTTACCTGTGCTGACGAGAACATCTCTCATGGAGTTAAGCATGTCTTCAAATTCCTCGTTTTCTTCTTCACTGAAAAGCAACATTAGTAACAAGTATTCAGCATATCGAGTGTTTTGCGAAGTAAAATTACGTCAGCATAAATAATACTAATAACTTGCATTTGACATGCGCGAGACAAGGTTATATGAGAATTACTCCATGAGGTCAGATGCTGCACCATCATGCTAAGCTGTAGTTTTTCAGGGCTTTCTCTAACTTATCACGATTTACCTTCCAACATTTAATTCTTCATCTTCCTCATCCTCATCTACTTCCTCTTCATCCAATTCTTCCTCGTCATCCTCGGCCTCTTGTTCACCCACATTCTCCTCATCGACACCTTCTTCGTCTTCTTCATCATCCCCCGGCTCTCCTGCTGAATTTTCTACGTTTCCGGCAGGCACAGTCTCGAATAACATTCTCAAATTTGGGAGGGAGCACGTTCTTAACCTCTGCAAAAAGTTTCGAACACAGAAGCAAAAATAATTAGGGTGCGTTCGACTGATCGTATTCCGGAATAAGAATACCCCAAAGTTTTGTTGCAAATCATTTCCCTAGTTTACCGTGATTTTTAGGCCTCTTAAACGCTATATACATCCGGCCATTTTATTTCAAGCAGATGAAAGCCAAGACGAGTGATTTTCAGAGTTTATTTCTTTTATTCTTATTCGGGAATACGGATGACGCCCTTAAAATAGCGTTAGAACTGTGTTATAGCTAAACTTGGGCGATTAACGTATTACTGATCAACCTGTTCCCCGCTGAGAATTAAATTAAACCCCTGATGGAGAACTCTGAAAGTAATGAGACAACAAGCTGCACATTAAACATTCGAATTTCATACTTAACACTTAAGCCAGTCTCAAGTGTAGCTCACCGTGAAATTTGTATCGTAGATTCCTGTTTGCAGCTCTGTTGCTCGCAAAGACCTGTTCGGTGATCCGTCGGCGTTGTGGAATGATCTGAAATTTTATTTAAAACCTTCAATATAGTACTGCGAATTTACGAACCAACAACGGCGACGCCCTTGAAACGTCACCGAAAACCTGCATTCGCGTCCTCTGCGATTATTCCTACTCATTCAGTTATTAAAGAGTCAGGAAATTTAGTTGTAGCTGAAGAGAGGGACCCGGCGCTTCCGAGAGGCTTAGACGCCTTGAGGTTCACGTTAAAGAAAACTTTAAATTTAGTGATGATACGTCGTATTTGTATAGCTGGGAACAGCTACAGATACCACCACTGCGGCGGGAGCGAAACTGTCAGTGAATATGCGTACTTTCAAACTTCATCTGAATTTAGTTTTTTAGATGAGTTTTCACTTCCGTCGTCGTCCATGTTGAGTACGCTCCCGACCATAAAAGGTGACTTGAAGGTGACCATAAGGCAGTTTCTCGCCCGCGCCCAAGTATCTTAGTGTGGGGAGAAAGGAATGAATCATTGGCTGGAGTATTAAATTCACTTGATTTAGGACGTTCAAACAAAAACCTCTCCACAGAAAAGAAAGACATCACTACAAACAACAACGTTGCGTCCTAACCGTGTAAAAATACTCACAATTCATCAAGTGATACGTCCTGCACTTCAAGATTCTCGGACTCCATTTCTTTCTTGTCTTCTTTACGTTCAACTCGTTCGAACAAAGCTTCCTTGGTCTCTTTCTCCTCCTGCTTATTACGCGAAGCGATCAGGAATTCTTGATAAGCCGCTCTGCTGTCCGATAACGAAGGCTCCTCCCTTGGTTTTGCGGCAGTTTTGCCCTCTGATGTACCTTGAACGTAAAGGGGTAAGAATCATAGCCGTAACTAAGGCTTCGAAAGCAAAGCCGCAAGCCAAATAACTTCTCCCAAAATGTAACATTAGTTGTAATTTTGCAAGGAAATGGAAAAAACAACGACCCTCTTGATAGAAAAGGGCTTAGTGATTTGGGAAAAAAGTTAACGGGAGAACAAAGTACACACGTTCAAAACAAAAGATACCAATGCTGCCACGGCCTAGAATTAAATCTAGTATTGCTAAGCTTATTTGGCAGAAAAGTAAGAAACCTGTTGTACAGTACTTATAGCGTGCAGTAACACAGAGAAGTACTGCTTGGTGTGTTTTAGTATCGATCAGCAGTCTTTATTTGAATAATCATACTAATTTTCATCAGTAGACTAACAAGTAGAAGGTTGAATCAACCGAGTTAAGAGAAGTGGAGGAGGTCACTCTTGTAGCGAAGGTCATTGTTTGTAGAAGTGTCGACATTTGGGGGTCAGCCGTTATAGAGATGTCCTACCTTCAGTTGACGTGTTCTCCTTTACCTCACCCCAGGCCTTCAGGGGGCTTTTTGGAGCTGATTTCTCACCTATCGCGGCTTCCGGCAATTTCTCTTCAGTGACATCTTCCACGTCTTCTACACCAATATCATCGGTATTTTCAGTCTGGACAGTGGTGTCTTCTTTGTCGGTCTCTTTAGTTCCCTCTGAAATAGTTTCCAAGGCGACAGGTGTTTTCATTTCTTCTTCTGGTTTCCCGGATAGCGTAATGGTAGCCTGAGCTTGAGAATTCTCCTCTTTGTTCTCGTCAATCTTATCCTTTCTCACAATAACAGTCTTTGGAGAGTCTGAGGTGGAAGACTTAACCACTGTCACTCCTAACTGTGGTGTGACAGTAGGACTTTGTACCGTGACAGTTGTACCCATAGCTGAACCGACCGCAGTGCCAGATGACTGCTTGACGACCGGAAGTTGAGCTTTCTTTCCAGCGTCCGGTTCATCAGGACCAATGGTCGTTGTTGCTGTTTGAAGTTGAGCGTTACCGAAAGCAGAAATTATCTGCGTCATTTGCGGTTGGCCCCACTGTTTTCTGGCTGCCTCTACTCCTGGTTTGAATACAGCGTCATTTTGGCTGGTTGCTGCAACAGACAAATTTTGATTATCAGTTACAAAGACAGCCTATGAACCAGGAACAGTTACCACTCTCTAGTAACTTAAGGAACATTCTGATGTCTTTTAAACGTGATAACCTCTTTAAAAAATATGCTTCATAAACCTAGATTTCACTTTTGCTCCCTAGCCGCTAGCCTAATGAAAAGAAGGATAATAAATGGATCCTGTCTCTAACTTGTCAATGAAATATGCCTCAGTATACCTTCCATAGCCGAAGCCGTGACTTCCAATGACAGGAGGCGAGGCTGAAATGGAATATCTCCCCAGGCTTTGCGCGGCGCGAGTGGTTCAACCTTTTCCTCCTCAATCATTTTGCGAATGTCGTTCTGCAATAGTTACAAAAGAAAAATGTATATATTTCCTACAAAAGCAAGGCAAAACTTCGGCAAAACACCAAATCTCAGTCTTAATTTAGTCCGTCTCCATCATTTCCTCGGTTGAAAGGAAAGGAATAGGTGTTTCAGATTCCAGGGTAGGTAAAGCACATTCATCTCAGATTCAAGCAAGTTTTCATGACAGTGACTGACAATCGACCAAACATGACTGCAAGTTTTTCTTGGCGGACGTCTAGCGATCAGTGTCAATGAGTAATATAAACCTCAAACTATTGAAGATTGCCTTACCTCAGAATTCGATCTGAACAGTTGGGTAGCTCCAACTTGTTTCAAGGCTGTCTCAAGACCAACTGGTGCAACTACAGGCTTTGGTGCAGGCTCTAAAATAAACAACATAAACTAGGATGTGATCTCACCGATAGAGGAAATGTGAATTAATTCCAAAAACACGATTGCACTAAGTAACATTACTGACACACCTGCGGGTCTCTCATACTTCGCAAGAACTGGAAGTGGCCTGTTAAACAACAAACAGAGCAAAGAATTAATGTATCTCTTAGACATCGAGGTGGACCTAAATAGATTGCCGAAATCTCAATACGCCGTTTCTTATATTTGCTTCCAGCAAAAACAAGCCCGTGAGTGGAATGCTAGAAAGAATATTTCCTGGGATTCTAACTCTTTTGGCAACTGTATCAAACCCTATAGCGTGACTTGTGACTACTGACATGAATAATATTTCTTTTTAGTTTAATTGTTTTTTAGTATCTTCTGGTGTTTTTAAACAATAAAGTTTAGAATTAATTACTTACCTTTCACCCTGCATGAAAAACTTGACCACTAGAAAGGTTAAAAATTTATGAATTTCTATAAAAAAAAGGTTTCAACTCTGAATCCTACCTTTTATCTGCATCTTTTCTTTGGTTTTCCTAAAATTTAAAAAAAAAAGTTGAAATCTTAAACTGTTGCACAAGAGAGCACACTTCAAACAGAACAGACGGTCATGGTTTTGACTCCCATCAGAGGCAGAGCATTCGGTTTGGCTGTTTCTTTCCATCGAGAACGAAACTGTTCAGTTAAAATAGTCAGCTGCTAAAACGCAATAAAAAACATCCAAAACTACATGGAAAGTGACAGGAGATTCAATAAGAGGGCAAAATAATATAAAACCTTTTCAAGCTTTTCTTTTCCTTCTTGGTTAATTCTCTGCAAAATCGCCTTCTTTCTTTCTTCCAGCTGAGCTCGCAACACAGCAGCTCGTTCCTCTGCCTGGGCCTTGAGAAAAAAAAAAGATAAACAAATGGGAAGGAAAGAAGAAGAGAAATGAGAAAAAGTGAAAAATGGACGGAAAAACGACGATCACCTGGTTCTAAAACGTGCCAAATACAGTGAAAGCTGTTTTAGTTTGGTGGAGGGACACCAGTGGGACCCAGTCCCTATTCCAGTTAATACAGGTCCGATTTAAAGAAAGATACTGGAATATTGGGTGCGACTCAATGATGCACGCGGCTACTTAACACAGGGTGTCCTCTTAACACAGGGTATCAACACAGGTTCAAGTGTAGAACTAACAAGCCAGCCATTCACAAACTGTTTTAAGTGGTGGTGGAGTAGTCTCATCCCAACGCTCCGTTACTTTAACTCCATTTACTCAGTTTTTCCTCTATCTGTACGAGAAATACTGAGCGCTGGTTCGCCCGCAAAATACGGCTTCACTGCAGGCGAGCCTAGCACACTACTTAAAGGTTGTTTTACCTTCAGATCGGCGATTTTCTTTTTTCTAGCGTCAGGATCATAGCGTGGATCACCTTGAATCATTACATTCTCCTTCTGCAAGAAAAACCAAATCACCAACTTGTACGCGATAACACCGCGCGGATTAGGTGTTATCCACACATTATTTTCCGTTTTCGTCTCCAAGTTTGTCGCAAACTCCATCGCCAGCGAGAAAAAAAAACAGTTGGTTAATTAAAAATTTTGGATCTTCCTTTTTATACAAAGGAATGAAAAAGAGAAGTCTACAAAAAAAAAGTCTGAAAAGAGGAGAGGCTACAGCATCATGTGCAATGATCTTGTTAGGAAGGAGACGTAACATCAAAAGTGAATCAAAATTAGTCGGGTCCTTTTGAAGTTTAGAAGGACTGGGTGCTCAATGACCGAAATCCAAGAATATACCCGCCTGATCTACGGCAAACCAGTAGTTAAATGATTCCTACCATTAAGACACTAACTGAATGAAAAGAATTACCAGAAGAGAGCCGTCTCGCAGCCTAATATGAGCACGGGTACTAGACATGGAAAAAGAAGGTGTTTCTGCATAGTCAAGTGAATTGTAAACAATAAACAACATTTGATCGGTGGCTGGTGAAAAAAACAAGAAATGAAAAAAAAACTTAAGCCTCATAAGGCTTAAAATAAATCAATAACTAGCGTGTTGTGGCCAACAAGTCCATTTCCATGGAACAGAAAATAAAGAAAACCCCACAAAATGATGTAGAACCTGAGCGGAGGGAGTCACGGGAGCTCGTACGCCTGCCATTCGTCTTTGTATTTCTTTTCGTTCTTGGAAATTTTGACGCCTAATGGCTTCCAAACGTGCAAGATACTCCTGAAAAAAGCAAATAAGAGAATTTGTAATTATAAAATGAAAACAAAAGAAGAAGAACGATAACTGTCTGTCAATACTGGTATAAGATCTCGAGAGTTCTTTCAAGTTACTACCTTTTCTTGTGCATCCTTTGCTGAAATAGCACCTTTTGGACGAGCAATATTTGCTGCAAACATAAATAATGGAATTAACGTCGGGTACTTTCATAGTTTGCCATCGAAAGAAAGGTACTTTTTGAGGTATCGAAAAAAATATGTAACTGTTTGACAAAGATGGCTTAAAGTTCTACACGCCCAGCCAGGGAAAACGTTTGCACATTCCAGTCACTGAGATACAAACAGCAATATTACAATCAAACAACAATTTCCCTTTATATCACCATATATTCTTAAGAAACTCCGCTATTTTCGCGTTTTAGAAAAAACGTTAGCGATAGTTACTGCCCTGTGGTTCGGCCTTCCCACAGTAATTTTTTAAACTAAAAATGCCAAAATTTTACGCTTAAATGCTTTCTTACACTGGCAGCTTTTTTTAAAAGTTACGATTGCTCTGATGAGTTGACAAAATCTCTTCATCCAGTAAGGTAAAAACGAAACTTAGTCACGACCCAGTGCCCTGTGGGTATTTTCTATGGTTGGCAGATGTATAAATCTTGACTTCGGACGTAACGATAAACCCAGTCAAACCTTTATCTAACGCCAAACTAAAAAAGTTGTAACGTTACGTTTTAAGTAACTGAATTCAGATGTTTCTTTAGACTTAAACCTTTGTTTTCTTTCGCGCATCGTCTGAAAGGATTACCAATTGTGATATCTTCAAATAAATGAGCAAAAAAGATATCCCATACGTGTCAAAACAAAGCAAAGCACTGAACATCGCGTATAGCAACAACAGCAACAACTACAACATTTCTACACCAACCTGGTGGATAATGATCGGGAAGAACATTAAAATTCTGAAAGAAAACAAAAACGGGAATAAAAAACAATCAGTGGGTATTTGAAAAAGGCTTGCTTACACGGAGGCGCTTTTTGCTGCGATTGCAGGAACAATCGGTTACAGTAAAATTGCGCGTGTATTATTGCAGTTTTCCAATATTTATGCAGCTTAAAAAGTACACGCACTTTGGCAACTGCCCCAAAGACATCAGACAGTCGCAAGAAAACCTCCCTAAACATCGCCACCAAAGTGCATCAACAAAAATACCAACAGAAATCATGCTACAGACGGCCTTTTCAAACGCAAGAAAATCGTCCAATATGAAAGGGGAATTTGCTTTACCTGTCCTCTTGCTTTATTCCTATGAGCGGCTCTTTTTCTGTTCCAGAACTCTTCCAAAACACGCGCTCTCTCCGCTGCACCAGCGGCTTGGGCTCTACACAAATAAAAAAAAAAGATTTTTTTTAACAGTTTATTCCAATGCAACACTTTTTTGTCAAAGTTTTCCCCGACGCGTCCCAAGCAACAATAGCGAAGGATCCTGGGACGGACGGCGAAGTAAATCTTCAGATTTATATCAACAACACATGCAGTGAAACAAAAAACTGCCAAAGAACTGTCTTTTTAGGTTTTGTTCATACATGCTCACCTAGTACCCAAGACTGAGGAGACGGACTGACTGACTGAGGAGACTGATGCATGGCAAATTAACCCATTTTTACCCCCTTACCTGTCTACTTCACCCTGCTTAGCTGCATTCCAGGCCAAGTTAGCAGGTCGAGCAGGTGGTGCCCTGTTCGCGTCATTTGCCGAAACAGGCCTACCAGCCACCTTCACAGCTGGTTGTCGATGCCTTTCGTCTGCTGACACTGGTCGGGCTGGTTTGTTCTCTTTTGATTCCTGGTCTTCTACTTTTCCTTGATATTTTTGCATTACCTGTGGCGCCTTCTTCTACGAGAAATAAATTAGAAAAACAATCACAGCTTTTTGCCGCGAGATTTTCCCTCTTACCGTGCACTTTGCGACTAGAAATACATCTCTCGCAAAACTTCGTACCTCTAGGTGCGATAAAGTCACACCAGTCTGCATTGTAGACTGACTAGCTGGCCTCTATAGCACTATACATTCCGTTCAGTTTGCCATTCATTTTAAATCCAACAATAACAATCGTGAGTTAAAGAGTCAAACAGAAAAATTTCTGTTCTCTTGCAAAAACGTTGTTTCAATAGTCAACTCTCACTGAAGATGACTGTCCTGAACTCTGTCGAATCACCTTTTTTAAATTCAAAAACCTATTTGTTTTAATTCCCTTACGTACAATGCTGATTACTTACAATTATTTCCTGTTGGTTTGGCTTCACTGCAGCAGAGGGATCCGCTGATGGCTTTTTCTCCTTCTACAAAGCAGAAACAATAAATGAACACCAATTAACTCCAGTACTTCAGATCAGTTTACTCTGTCCCAAATAGTAATATTAAAAGTAATATTTGATGCAAGCAGCTTATTATTTTAATATTATGGACTAGGTGATTGTACGCTAATTGGTCCTAATCAAGACCACACTCCCCCACGCAGACCATCATATTCAACCTGTTCTTGACCGATTAATTTCCCTGCATACCAGTACGGGAACGAGAAGAATTTCTTTAATAAGATATTCTCACTGTGACAGTCAACTCTCTTTTTATTGCCACAAAACGATTTTACATTCTACCGGACTAAGAAAAGAACCCTTGAAATAGCGAGTGGAGCGAGCGCAAGGACTTGCCTTCTTACTGAGAACAAGAAGAAAAAAACTATTTGGCCAGACCAGTGCATTTTGATATAAATTGATAAAATGCAAGGGCAGTAAATGGAATAATAGTACTTTAAGTTATATGAAGACAGCAATTTATATTGTAATACGTTTTGAATTCTTTATAATACAGTTATGATTAGTTTTCTGCATCCTCTGAGAATCTGAAGTATCCAATCAGTACGGGATATCCACGGGCAAAAGACAAAGTTTGAGGCAAGAAAGGAAGAGTCACTTGTCACTAGCTTCTGCGAGCCAGATTTTCAACTTGAAAATAACCCTGCTTCCGATTGGCCAGAAATCTGACCAATCATATATAGAGATTGAAAAGCTTCTGGAACTGCGGCTCGGTAGGAATTTAGAGTCCAGGGATTCCCTTACTTCTTGCCATATACTTTGCCCTTCACCCGTAAATACACTTTCCCGATTGGCTGCTTCACCCGTAAATACACTGTCCTGATTGGCTGCTTCCGGGTCTCATCGAGCATTTAGTTGATACTTTACTTGCATGTTATATGAATTTAAACACAGTTACAAGCGATAACCTTAATATAATTTACTGTTGTTTACAGGTTAAAGGCAAGGCAAATTTATTTTACACGAGTTAACAGACAGCTTTTGTTATTGACGTTAATCCCCATTAGTTTCAAAAGTGGCTGCACTTGTTACTTCAAGGAAAGTTTATAGATTAGTTTGCAGTCATATCTGGTTGGTACTGAGAGTTCAAAAACGTGTCACATCAAGTGCAATCATACCCGGTGAGAGGAAAGTGCGGCTTCTTGCATTAGGAGAATCAAGTCAATCAATTGAGCACAGGTATTAAGAACAAAACCAGAGTGAAGACAAAAGTCTTGGAGCTTAAACAGGCATGCTGGGATATCAAAATCCTGAAAATAAGATATTTCACTCAAACGTCACTAATAAATGTGTTCACGAATGACTAAATTATGAACGAATGTTTCTGCAGACTATAGTGTGGTAGTTCTTTGTCGTACACTCTCTAATCATTTTTATAAATTTCTGGAACGTCAGTCTCCCAGTCTCTCAAGAGAATGCATTGCAGTTTTCAGTGCATATTTCCGTAATTACTGTTCTCACTTAGTGACCACATTTCATATGAGTGTAGTGTAAGTAGGTTGAATATGATTGTCCGGTGAATGGAGTCCCGAATAAGGACTGTTGATAGTGACAGTGACTGACATTTGTTGTGACGAGTGATTGCTTATACACCATATCTCTCACCACTTAAGTGTTTATTGCATTGCGTAACTCTGTAAATTGCAGCAAGTCTAAAAGGACGCGCTCATGCTTACCTATGACATACATTGTTAGCAAAATTTTAACTCATTAAAAACGTTAATTCTATTTCACCTTTTTATTCTTCATAACAGACATTACTGAATCATCCATTTCAAGAAAAGTTGGGTCAAGTTAGGATGTACAGATGTACATGTATTGTTGGCAGTTTGAAAGTTTGACTGACTTAATTCAGTTGTTTAAAGCTGAATAGTGTTACGCAGAGGCGAAATGTCTTTGCAGTACTTAATGGAATAGATGATTTCCCTTGTTATTTATTTACTCGGTAATGGTTTATTGCGTTATATTAAGAGGTTTTCGGATAGGAAAATGACATTTATTTCTATACATAAAGTGACCACAGATCTCTGTAGTGTTGTAGATATGATATGAGTGGCTAGCATTACCTTAGAGTTAGTACTAGCCTGTGTAGCAAGCGTTTCTGTGCGGTTTAGGAGCAAAGAATGAGGAACAAGAGTCAAAGACCGCGCGAAAAGTGACGCAAGTAAAAGAGCGAAAGTATCCTTTTGCTCCGAAACCAAACGGAAACGCTTGCTACGCAGGCTAATTTAGTACAAACACATCAATGCTATATGGCTTACTGCATGACTAAATAACAGTACCCTATAAATAACCTAGGTTAAAAAAGTCAAACCAAGGTTAGATCAAAATTAACCTGAAATCAAATTCGACCCGTAACATTTGCACGCCCAAAGTGCTAAACGTTTTATTTTCCTCTTTCGCTTTTTGGAGAACTTTCAGTTTCTTAAGGTTTACAAGCAAAATGGAATGCGAGTGTAGACTGAGCTACACCGTACATTCAGGGATTCAAACTTAGGTTTCAATCCAACTAGAACCTAATATGTACACAGTGTACATTAAATAATAAATAATAATTATTACCTCAGGGCTGAGTCCTACACTAAGTGTATTCTTCCAAGCTTGTTCCCTCGCTCTATTGATCTGTTCACGCTGACAAGCAAGTGATTCATAAGTTCTGTCAGGCCTCTATTTATCAAGTACAATCATTTGGACAATATTTAAATAACTTGCCAGAGCAAGCGAGCACTTTACTCTGGCATCTCCTTTCAAATGCTGCTTACGCTTGACTTCTCACGATTTCCTCAAATGGAGAGGTTACTCAGAGACTAATATTTACCAAGCTACAGTAAATGCTTAAAAAAGACAAACAGAATGTTGAGAAACAGTGGACCTAAGAACACTATAAGTGTACACTACTCATTGGTTTATGATAATATTATCCGGATTAGACTCAGGTTATTTCAGTAGTAAAGTGTTGTGCCTCGTTCAAGTACCTGTTGACGCTCCCATCTCTGTTGTTGAACTTTTTTCATATAATCCTGGTACATTTGTTCCTAAAGAGGAAATATAAACATGTTTTATCAAAATTTCTTTAATTAATGCAACAACTTTGAAGTCTAACTTTAGTAAAAGTTGAAAGGTCGGGAAAAATATTATGTAGAAACCAAGAAGTTATAAAGTAATCAAACCTGGTTTTGCATCATTTCTTTACGTCTTCTCTCACGAGCATCAGGTTCTTTCTTTTTGTCATTAGCAGGTCTGTCTTGTGCTGCATTGCTTGGTTTTGAAGGTTTTTTCATTGCCTCTCCTGAGCTGGGCCTCCTGTAAAATAATTCAAACATGGAAAGACAGTTAAACCACAGGGCAGGAAATACAGTCACAGGAGTTTCAATAAGCACTGACGACCGACAAAACAGGTTAGCTACTTTGCTCAGAGAAGTCGGCTACTTTTACCCCTAGAAGCTGGGAAAAAATATTAAATTAAAGAAAATTCTGTCAAAACGTATATTAAATTCAATTTGCTGGACCTAGACAGACTTTTTGCTTCAGATTTAAAATATTTAAGAAAAGTTTGGGACTTACTGTGCATCAGTTACTTGTCCAAATTTATCGAAAATACTTTATCTTTTGTACTCAATTTAGTGCTCAGAATACTGGAAATCGTTTTTTTGGGCACTGAAATTTCGAAATTTTCAAGGGGTGCACACACCCAGACCCCTCTACAAGAAAGGGAGTAAAAGTCGTAAAAGCCTCTTTTTGATACAATCGGATACTTTTTTCTAACCTGCTGGCTACTTTAATTTAAAATTGAAACCCATGAATACATGTTATGTAAAAACTTTTCTTCTACATTCCCCTCTCCTCCTTTGAAGGCCCTATCACTTAGCTTCACCCTTGAACTGCCAAGGGTTCTCCAGAAAATGTATTTGAGTAGAGGAAGAAAAATTAAAGAAGAGCTAATAGATTAGATCAAAATGAATGGCTCAGCTGCATGTGAGAGTAGGTTATTTTAGGTTCTCTGAAAAGTGCATTTCAGTGCATTTTGAGAAATCAGTTAAAGAATTTTAGCCATGGAGGCAGTTCCTTAACATGTGCATGTTTTAAATATTTACTTACGACGTTTGTTTATTTTTCATGATATGTTTTTTTTATATTTAAAAAAGTGTTGAGAAAGAAATTTCACTGATTTATTATTATTTGAGTCACCGGTGCTTCTGTGGTAACTGTACCAAACAACACAAATGCACCAACAGTGACGGTAACATTTATAACCAAGATTCCAAAATACTGTGACAAGTTTACATTTTGACTGGAAAATTCTAAATGCAAAGTTCAAAAATTCATCCGAAAGTGCAATCTCCAGTGTACATGCATTTTGCATTTTACCCCTCCCCTCACAAAATATCCTCTGGAATAACTGTTCAAATTACAGGCAGCAGTAGGGATATAAAGTGAGTGAAAAATATTGTTTGCAGTCCAGCAATTTAATAAACCTTTCCACTCTTTACTGGGACAAAACTCAAGAAAAAAAAATAATAACAACCAGCTTCTGACAATATTACTAAACCCAGCAACTAACAATATTACTACATGTATGACAGATGCACAGCACATCAAGCTAAATAATAAATATTATTAGATTCTTACTTTGGAGGTGCCTGCTTTTTCTTTGCAACAGATACTCTGTACTTTGCTTTTGGATCACTATACTTTTGTGGTGCTACAAAAACATGGGTCAGTGTAATCATTATTAATATCTGGTATTGTACATCATCTTAATACCTCCTTTAAAAGTTAAATCTTGTACATTGACAAGCATCTTCGTGTAGCTATTGAATGTCCCTCTACATGATTTTATGGCTGCCACCAAAATATCCTTTCAGCTAGATACTGTAACGGTGCTGGTACTACAACTGGGGCCACCTAGACAAATTTGACCAATTGGTTTACAGGAAAATAACAATACATTCCGAGAAAGTTAGTTGTCAATCATAATCGAAACAAACAACATGGATCAAAATCAACCAATTACAACCTACAGACGTGACCTTTGAACCCAATGAAGAAGGTCTGTGTTTCCTAAGAGGTCCATTCGAGTGAATGATGCAGGCAAAAAACAAAAACGTTACATGTAGTGACAGCACATTTTTGACTTGAGGTTCTGATGTGAAATTGTTGGTAGATGACAAAATAACAACTTGGGTCAAACAAATTTGTCTCCTGGGTTTTTTTGTGTAAAGTTTTGAATACATGTACAAAAACATTGTTTGTTGAAACACTTTGCTTTCTTGAAAAACGTTTGCTGTGCTTTGAGTAACTTTTTTTTTTTTTTGCAAGCTGCTGATTGGCCCACAAGTAACTTTATTGGAATTTATCATTATTTTCCTCTAATCTGATTGGCCAGCTTTGTCTAAGTGGCCCGTAAGTATCCATAATAACATTAACTTAATAATGATTACTAACCAGGAGCTGGTTTAACAGGTTTAGGTGGAATTCTTTGCTGACCAAACACTCCCAGTGGCTTGCGATGAATCACAGTATGGCTGAACTCTTCTGCCATAACCTGAAATAAGTTCACCAGTCAAATGACTTAAGTCTAAAAATATCTTAGCTTTGCAACAACCCGAAACCCTCTCACCAAAAATTTGTGCATACATGTATGTACGGCTAAACTTTCTTTGGTTTTAACACACCACCTTCCCTTTGTTTGTTTTCTTTTCCTTTGTGTTAAAAACATCCAGTTTACTACTGTATAGTACCCATATTGTCAGTGACAACCCCACCAGTGTTAAAGGGCACTAGTTACTATGAAGAGACAATGTAATGAATGAGAATGCAATATTACATGTAAATTATAAACTTTTCATTATCGTACCTCTTCAGATAAGAATTTTTCAATCCTTTTTTGTATGAATGGTTTCTTTAGAATTGAGTTGACAGAAGGACGGTCACTGCAGAATAGAGACAATCATCATCACAATGGCCACATCTACTTTGTGTGCCATACCTGGGATCCACAATTGCATATGAGCAGTTCACACTGTATTGCTTTATATACAATTGTGAAGCCAAAGTAAACACAGTAAGTGATATCAAAGAAAGAAAAAGAAAAAAAATATGATAACCAGAAATCTACATCATTTCCATAATCTTACTGAGCATTTCGTTTCAGCATCTGTGCAACCAGTCCTCTGATATCAGCACTATACTTGTAAGGAATGGGTGGGTATGATCCCCTGGTGAGACATTGAACAAGTATACATGTTGAATTCTTGATAGGACTTTAACTCATTACATGTAGCAGTAGCATAATTATTATTACATTAAGTCCAAATCAGCATATGCAATAGACCTTTTTACTGATATAAGCTAGATTTAAGGAGTATTATGGGATGCCCAGGGGGCATGAGCACATTGCGACATATTCACTTAGTATTAACGCGCGTGCGCCTTCCCAAAGTTTTCCTAGAAGAAGATAGTAAAGGGAAAAAAGATCGTTTGGATCGATTCGTTTGGATGTAATAATGACTGCCTTTATCCTCGAGAAATATAGAGTGACAAACCATATTTCTAATGCTAAGCGAGTATAATGGATCTTGCTCATGCCCTCTGGGCATCCCATTATACTCCTTAAATCAAATTAAATCAATATGGCTGCTGTATCAGTAAAAAGGTCCATTAAATGTCATGCAATCATTACACACACAAGTTGTCAAGTAGTTTTAGTTCAAAATAATTCTTCAAATTGTGTTTTTAGTTCATGAATAACAATGTCAGTACATGAAGCAGAGATTCCAACCTTCCCATTTTGGCAGGAAACCTCCTGTTTTCGGCAATAAATTCGAGACTCCTGTTCTCGCTTAAGTATTCTCCTGGTTTTTGAAACTCTTCCTAGCCAAAGAAAGACAACGTTTCTTTGTTTAACCAGTCTTTTTAGCACGATTCCTTGGCATTTTTAGTGGTTTCTCAGCCATTTTTACCCTTTTGTCATCCAAGCATGAGCCTGTGATAATGTTAGGCACAGCATTTCCCTTGACTGTGATCTCAAAATGCAGGAAATGGCATCTTAGAGGTACATAACTTGAAATTTTTCCCAGGGGAACATACCCCTGGACTCCCCTAGAGGATCACGCCTTCAGCACTGGTAGCTGCTCCAAAAACCTCCCTTTATTTAGTGGCCAGGATTGGAATCTCTGGTGAAGTGTATTCACAATCAAAACTCACTTGATAATCAGATTATTATTTAGGAATTCCAGTAAACCATGTAAAAGTGAATGGAATAGTGGAAATATACAGCCTTACATATGTACCTTATAATTTTCAAAACTAAGTTCTTCATATTTCCAGCTTCAAACTGTGATAAAAAGATAAAAATAAAAGACTCAAAGCTTAAGCCACAAGGCATAATTTATGTCGACTGGTATCACGTCAGTAAATGACAATAATGAAACTGGCCAGTTAAATAGTGCACATCTTAGATAGTTTGTACATGCATATATTCTATTGTTATGGTTAAAACTTTCTTTCATTTTAAAAATAAAACACCACCTTCATTTTGTTTGTTTTGTTTTCCTTTTTGCTAACAGCATCCAACTTACTATAGAACACTTGCTGTCAGGACAACCCCACAAGTGTTATACAGCAGTATTAAAATAACTAACATTTAGTCATTAAGGCACAGACATGATTTAATCACACCCAATGTCATAAATACATAAGCGTAAATACATGCAAGAGAGAGTACTAGGCTAGCACATGTAAGCTACCAAGAATATCACAATGAACTCTGCATTTTCAAAGTGATAAAACAATTCATTTCTTTAGATAGCTTTCAAATGAATGGTATATGAAAATGCCCAGTGTGTTAAGAATGTGCACCTTCCATGCAAAAACTTACCTACAATTGTGCATTATATGTGTACATTATGTTACAGGTCAAAACTGATTCTCAGTTTCCTTTGTCTCCTAAACCTAATTCATCAATAATTAAAGCTAGGACACAAAGGAAATTGAGAATCAACCTAAGTTCAAAAATTTTAATGGCAACCTGAATTTAATTTTGACCTGTAACATATACAATAATTGTACATGAACTAAGTTTAGTCAGGATTGTGACTCTGAAGTTTATTTAGGTGAGTCTCTATGAAAAGATTGATTCAGCACTTACAGACAAAAATTCGTTAATGGTAAATGAAATTACTTACAGCATGTTTTAAAGTCAGCAATTCATACAGGACACATCCAAGAGACCAAATGTCACTGAAAAATAAAACATCGAAATAACTTACAGTTGCAATTCATAAGTGTGGCAAGTCTTGACAGTAACTTACAGTAAACAACAAAAAAGGCATGAGCATCTACCTTTTATTATTGTAGGGTCTGTTCTCGCATATTTCTGGTGACAAGTAATAAGGGGTACCAATGCAGGTGCGAGCTAGTTCCATAGTACTGCAGACAAACAAGATATCAAAAGTCTACTAAGAACTGAAACAGATACAATCAATCACACTTTGACTACATACAGTATACCAGTGTATGGCAGCTGAGCATTATTGGGACAGTTTTGTCGACCATTTAAACAAAATCACTTTTTTGGGAAGGTGGCTGGAATGATTGATTGCCAAAAGAACTTTGTGTTGTACAATAGGGCAATTCACAGTTTTGATCAGGAAAAGAAATAGTTAGGTAACAGAATTATTCAAGTTACATTGCTTGTGATGAATTTAGCAAAAAGACCAGGAAGATTTCATGGCTTATACGTATATATGTATGCCTAAATTAATCTGAGGAGCTAAGAATGCTTAAAGGGCTAAAGGCAAAATATTAAATCTAGTCCATAAAAAAATAATCATACTGTACCTGTGTAAAACTCTCGCAATTCCAAAATCTCCTAACTTCACAATTCCATTCTTTGTTAAGAATATGTTCTAAAACAGAGCATCCATGTACAAGTTAGAGTTTTCTAATTTCCATACACCCAGGATTATCCACGCCGCGAAAAAATAGAATTCATAGCATACCTGAGATTTTAAATCCCGATGAAGTATCTTTCTATCATGAACATGTTTCAGTGCCAAGCATATCTGTACAAAGTAGTCTAAAACCTACAAAAAGAGAATGTACAGTGCAATATTGAAGGCCATTTGTCATTTCTTAAAAGTACATCAACACAAGTAAATCATAGCCGAAATGCACAAATCTGAGGCCATGTTTTTGAAGTGGTTCAAAATAGTCAAAGCACATGTCAAGACCAGTAAAATTATGATACTTTGATCACATTAAACTTGCTAAGACACTGCTGTTCATGTTTTAAACATTTGCATTAACTTATTACTCCTTACCTGTTCCTCTGACATCTGAATTCCACGTTGGTTGTTAATTCTCTTATACAAGTCACCTATAAAAAAGGCAAATTATGTTTGGCAGATAAAGTGAGCTACATAAGGAAGCTAGAAATTTTGAACTGACGGTGTGCATGTAGCACCCAGCATAAATGGGGCTTAAAAAATATCTGGCCTGCTTGTACATAACAGGACAAGTAGATTTTCCTCCTGAGCAAGTATTAAACTGTTCACTGTCACTTCGCAAACAAGCAAGGGCCCATTAACTCCTTTGCTGTGCTCTAGGAAAAATTGAAGGAAGCCCAATGCTCTGAACCTGTACAACCACTGTGCAGCCTATAGCGCTTAGCAATGAAAAGTATAGGCGCTATATAAATATTTTCTATTATTATTTTATTAGCCTATCCACTGTGTCCATTCAATTCCAAGAGCAAGGTGCCAGGAGCCACTGGGTGCTGCTAGAGCACAATGCTGAACTCATCTTCCAACTATGTGTAAACGTATGTGTAAACTAAGCCTGGTATGCAAAAGTTGCCAACCGCTACTTGTCTGAAGTAAGTGGAATGCATGCAATTTGATGCTACTCTCTTACTATTATCAAGTTTTACTAATCATACAGTCATAATAATACCTGATTCACAATAGTCCATGGCAATATAAAGATTTCCATTCTCTGGAGAAAACATGAAAAAGCAGACAAAGAATATAACCTGCACCTGAACTCAAAAAATTAATCTACAGGTAGGTTCTGATGAGTCAGTTTTCAATGTACAGCTATAAGTGCTTTCCAGTATATTTGCAAGTTACTGGCATTTTTTGATGACGAAGATTTGAGTGGCAAAAAGGAATGATTTGGTGAGAGTTTTAAAAACATACCCACACTGTATACAGAGAGACTACCACTCACTTTGTATGTGACAGAGCTAAACATTGATAAAGTTTGCTTTTTTCTCACTCTGGTACTGTAAATACAGTTTCACAATACTGGCATAAACTTTGTGTTTATTTGTACCATAGCCATCTCTTACATGACAGTACTTCTTGTATTTTGTCCAATCATCAAATAATTCAACTAAATCTTTCTCATTTTTAGTGGCCAGGCCTCAGTTGATCAAATGTTGGATAAATCACTATCCAGTGGATAAGTATTGGGAGAAACAATTATTATGTTATACGTTGGATAGAAATTTATCAAGTGGACAGCATTGTCAGCCCTTTCAACCCTTTAAACAACTGGGGCTATAACGTTTCTGACAAGTGTTACTTTACCCCGAAATGAAGAGCAAATCACATTTTTGCATTGTGAGAGCAATAGCTAATGTCAAACACCTGGGATTAAGTTCCGTCCTCATGTCCTCTCTTCCCTCTCCACATCTCTATCCTTACTTTATAAAATTTTCATGCACAAAATTTTGGCATGCTCCTCTATCCCTAAGGAAATTATGGAGTACTTGTGGTATAGGCTACAGATGATGATGACTTTAAACTTGGGTTGCCCCAAAATGTGCTTGCATTGGTCTTACCTTCAAACGATTCTTGATATGATACAATGTTAGGGTGTTTTAACTGGGCTAAAACCTTCACCTAGAACAAAACAAATAATTACAAAATTCAGAGAACAAAAAGCTTGTGAATATCTAGATACACTACAGTTCCTGAGTGACAGCGGCCCTTTCTCTCATCACACGGGTCATTTTTTTGCAATTAGCTAGATAATTGTGAGACAGATGGGATATACAGTACTTTTTTTAACTGTTACGTGTAGCTGACGAAAAGGTAGTTAGGGTGGGAGAGGGGCCGTTCTTTTCAGTAAAAGCACCCTTGGATGCAATAATGTAGAGTGCTTTCACTCAGACAATAATTATTATGACCATAAGTTCAGCCCAGAAAGATAATCAGCCATATTGATTAATGGAATTATGATGCCCTAAATAATAAGACCAAATTTCCGTGACCCAACTGTAAATTGACAGATCTTTCTAGCAATCATACTACATGTAATCAAAAGTGATGAAAAATACCAACACATATTATAGCAGGTAAGCAGGTTGAAGTTATGAAGTTAATAAACAGAACTACGATGAAACCTGGCAGTGTAAACTGAGCACAATGGGTGACTAGAACTTTCACTGTGAGTAAATATCATTAACTGTGACAGTCCCCGTGCAAAATCAGTTCTAGCAGTCTTATCAATTAGATCTTTTTTTAATAAAATCTACACGCGCACACTTTCATCTGCTTATACAAGCTAACCTCACGAATCAAAAATACAGCAGCCGCACATACTTAACAATGTACATACACTGTATGCACAGATTTGTTTCATTAGCTTTATAAAATAATAATAACGTTCACACAAAGAACAACAGCAAGAAATTCACCTCTCTTCTGGATTCCTCCCTCTCTTTCGGAGACATCTGCACACCAAGATAAAATTAAAAAAAGCTATAAAAGGAAGCCGCGGTCGCCATGTTACTGATGCTATGAGAGCTTTGAACATGTTTTAAGTAAGAAATAATCTGAATCATTATTTATACGGAAAAAGTAGGATATTAAGTTTAAGACTAACACACCTTGGAAATACTGATCTCCTTAATGACATACTGTTTTCCATCGCTCTTCTTTTTCACTAATAACGCTTTTCCAAATGACCCTTCGCCGATTTTCTTCACCCGTACGTACCGATCCATCACTTCCGCTTGTGAGGAGGTCCAAACGTCTACTTTCCTCCAGTGAGCACTAACCTTTCCTCCATATCTATAATGATGGGCTGAAACTAGAGTTATGGTAGTTCCTCCGTTGCTAATACAACGTAACGAAGGAAAAAGTTTGTAAAATGGCGCCCGAAAAGAGAATTCTCGTTACTTGTGAGCCTGCGAGAAAGAAAGATTAGACAGTGGCTTTTCATTGATCATGCGTACATGTTGTTAGAAAGATGATTTTGGACTGGACTATTCGATCAAGGATGCTGGATTTGAACTTCTTATTGAAGTAGGCGTCAAGGGACTAGATGATGTAAACACCCTAAGAAAAATTGCAATTCAATCGTTCTCGATTTGCGCTATGCATTATCCGAAAAACGAATCCAAACTTGGCCTCCGACAAGATCCAAAAAAATTATTTGATGAGTCAATCGTCTCTGACGTCACAACTTTAAAAGTCCATATTGAGCGTGCCCGACACCACCGGCTTCTGCATTCTTTTTAACACCTCTTTACTTGTGCTCCACATTGTAGTGTCCATCTCCTGCGACCACCGCCCAAGGGCATCAATGATAGTAGTAGTAGTAGTAGTAGTAGTAGTAGTAGTAGTAGTAGTAGTAGTAGTAGTAGTAGTAGTAGTAGTAGTAGTAGTAGTAGTAGTAGTAGTAGTAGTAGTAGTAGTAGTAGTAGTAGTAGTAGTAGTAGTAGTAGTAGTAGTAGTAGTAGTAGTAGTAGTAGTAGTAGTAGTAGTAGTAGTAAGTAAGTAAGTAAGTAAGTAAGTAAGTAATAAATTGCTTTATTTGCATGACCGCATCATTTTACAGTATTGCAAAAGCATGTATATGACAATCAAAATATAAAACAAAACAGCACTAATAATAATCTAGAAAAATTCGGTTACATTACTAACAATGAATCACGTATTTTCATGCACGAGGAAACAAACTTCATAACTAACTTATTTACATGATGTTCCTTCGAATTCATTATCAGTTTTATGCTTTCTGGAGATGATTTCTTGTCAAATTCAGGTATTATTCGATTGATTTGATTAATAAATGCCTGTCTCTGTACTGAGTATTTGTTACATTGAAAGAGGAAATGAATCTCATCTTCTACCTGATTTGAGTTACATGAAGGACATAATCTATTTTCTCTTGGCAAATGATCGATTTGGTATCGACCATGTTCAATCATAAGTTTGTGATTACTTATTTTAAATTTAACAAAATTCTGTCGTTCGTCATAATGTCTTAGCTGGTAGAGATAATCAGATGTAGAATATTCATCTTTAAAAGTTTTATAAAATTCTAGTTTTTTTGAATTTTCGAGGCTGTGCCGCCAAAAAGATAGATATTTCTCTCTCATTTCTGTGGTATATCGTCTAATGTTATCATTATCTAGGGATTCAGCATCTAAACTGGTTAGATTGTATTGTTCAAGCATGTTTATGAAATTGGAAAAATATCTGGAATTATTCATAGAATGTAGATTCTTTGACATAAGGAAAGACTGTTTGACTATAGAGTCATTATCTTTGTTGTTGAGGTAAACAAAATATTTCATAATTTTCTGATTTATCGGGATAAGCAGCGGCAGTCTATCAAGTTCAGCTCTGCAGGCTATGTTAGAGGCCTTATTGTTAACCTCTAAGTAACGTTTACAGAATTTGAGGTGGATTTTTTCTATTGGGGAGCTATCCCATTTTTTAAAATCTTGCTTGGTGTACATTCCCCATACCTCGCGTTGTAACTCAAGATTGGGAATACCATGGTGTCAAAAAATTTGGGATGCAGTATTAGGATTAAGTTTGTTAAGAATTGTCCGCTTCCGAATACTAGAAAACGCGTGAAGGGCCTTTTCTTTTAAGTGTTCGAGTGCAAGTGTAAAGTTTCCCGTTGGAGTTAAACGTGTACCTAAATAAGTGTATTCTTGGACAATTTCAATTGACTCACTGCCTATGTTGAATTTGATGTCAATAGATTTTTTTGGGCGTTTCTGGAATATCATAATTTTTGTTTTCTTGGGATTAATTTTTTAGCTTCCATTTGTCACAATACAAAGAAAGCGCATTTAAACAGTTCTGTAATCCAGTTTTCGATCTTGATAGAATAACTAAATCATCTGCGTACAAAAGTGAATTTATTTTTTTTCCCATTTGGGAGAACAAATGGGTCAGATAAGGTGTTTTCGAATAAAAGTGGTAGATTGTTTAAATAGAGGTTAAATAAAAGAGGACTTAAAATACAGCCTTGACGTACACCTCTGGAATATGAAAAAGGCTGTGTTTTGTTTTCACCGATTTTGATGGAACATGTCGAGTTGCAATAAAGACTTTTCATGAGGTTGTACAAGTTTCCTCCTATATTCGTTTTTAGCAGCTTATAAAACAATCCTTCGTGCCAAACAGAGTCAAACGCTTTGCGGAAATCTACGAAACAAGCGTAGACTTTTTCCTTGTGATAATGCACATATTTATCTATTAGGGTCCTTAGAGTGAAAACATGGTCTGCAGTGCGGTTTTCAGGCAAAAAGCCAATTTGGGAATTATGTAATATCTTATTTTCCTCAAAATACAAGTGAAGTCTTCGATGTAAAATAGAACAGAACAGTTTTCCAAGGCAACTAGAAACACATATGCCTCTGTAATTTGTTGGATCACTCTTGTCACCAGATTTGTAAATAGTAAATAGTAGTAAATTGTAAATTGTAAATAGTAATAGTAAATTGTAAATAGTAGAAGTAGTAGTAGTAGTAGTAGTAGTAGTAGTAGTAGTAGTAGTAGTAGTAGTAGTAGCAGTAGTAGTAGTAGTAGTAGTAGTAGTAGTAGTAGCAGTAGCAGTAGCAGTAGCAGTAGCAGTAGTAGTAGTAGTAGTAGTAGTAGTAGTAGTAGTAGTAGTAGTAGCAGTAGCAGTAGTAGTAGTAGCAGTAGCAGTAGCAGTAGTAGTAGTAGTAGTAGTAGCAGCAGTAGCAGTAGCAGTAGCAGTAGCAGTAGCAGTAGCAGTAGTAGTAGTAGTAGTAGTAGTAGTAGTAGTAGTAGTAGTAGTAGTAGTAGTAGTAATAAGTAATAGTAGTAGTAGTAGTAGTAGTAGTAGTAGTAGTAGTAGTAGTAGTAGTAGTAGTAGTAGTAGTAGTAGTAGTAGTAGTAGTAGTAGTAGTAGTAGTAGTAGTAGTAGTAGTAGTATTAGTAGTAGTAGTAGCTAGTAGTGGTCAGTATAATAAAAATGACCACATTTTTTCCCGACATCTGTAGAGTGGTATTTTGACGTATTCTTGCTATCATTCGACCATTCCGTCTTTGTATAGGTGGAAATCTTTCGCCATTTTCTTCTTCACCTGTTCCCCTCTTCTCACTTTGGTCGCGAGCGAGAAACGTAAGTGACTATTGACGTAGCGAAGGCTAGTATACGTCAAAAAGGAATGTGTTTATGTTGGAGAGGAAATTCAGAATGGGCAAGATAAGGCCACCTCGGGTAGCCAATGGGAAAACAGAATTCGCCACATCCGGACCGCTCATGGTCTTGTCATGGAGCCGGCGGTTTTCTGAACTCGATCTCCACCTTGGCAATCACACGGTGAGAAAAAGACTTTAATAAACAAAGTCGTAAGCATTTAATATTTATTGCCTTGAAGATACTGGTTTTCTTTGTATTCTTCGTATTAGCATTGCAAATCAGTAACGCTTAAGTAATACCATTACATCGCCTTTCTCCCGAAGTTCAAACTTTTGAATGAAGCTACAAAGAGTCTATGACTTTTAGAATCCTAACGCGTCTTTTTGATTTTCTCTAGCGCTTTTTCTTTGAAAACATAAACTAAAAATAGAAGATCTCCAGAATAAAATGCAGTAAAAGACAAAACATAGAAAACAAGAAGCACTAACCGATCTCCTTCGGTTAACAGGTAGGAGCATGACAGTTTCAAGCAACAGAGCTTTTAAAAAATCCAAGTAAACTGATAAACTTTGGTCTTCTTTCAATGAAGGTACTCAGTCTGAGTCCCAGTCCCTCGCGTCTGGGTTAGGCGCATTGTTGTAAATTGGTAAACGTCCGTGCCTGATTTGATAATCTTCTAATAAATAATACACGATTTCAGGTGGGTTCAGACAAGTAAGCCACCGGACTGCGATATTTCTCCATCGTCGTTTTCCTGGACCACTCAAATATCTGCCGATGGGAAGTCCATCATTTCCGCTAAAATGAGCGTTTAGACAGTCCCGGATGTTACTGAAGTAGGGATTTCCACCAATGTAGATGATCTATTAAGATAAGCACCACTGTTAATATTAAGTTGCGAACAAAGACACGAAATTTAGTGAAATATTATATGAAATGTTGAATTGCCTTTCTGGGTCTATCTCAGTCCAATAACCTTTCCCATCCATGTATACTGTCTTTGACACAATTCTGAGCCGAGAATGTTTGAGAGTCATGGAGAGTCGACCAGATCTACTTGCATTCAGCCGAAAGCACGAGTCATAGGCTCCTGGCTTATAGAAGATCTAGCGGTAAGTTTACCTTCACATAGCCTGCAAAGCAGGCGTATTTTGGGGCGGGATCCATGAATTGTTTTCAGGAATGACGTTGTCCCGCCATCTTGGACGTTAATACTACCAGAGAGTTGGGACGAGTCAAAAAGTGTTTTTAAGGGAGAGGTAGATGGCGGCCACGATCAATGTACCTCCGAGTTTTCGTTAAAAAACGCCTGCTCTGCAGGCTAACCTTTCCATGGCACCGGAACCATTCAATATTTTTGCTCTGATCACTCACGAAACTGACGAACAAGGTTGAATTTTAACTTTTGTCAAAAGATTTACCATCTGCTCATGCGCAGGTTACTTCTTAGCAAATCCAAAATGGCATCTCCCAGCTAAGTTACCACGCATCCATGCAATTGCGCCTTTGCCGTACAAACTTTTAGGCGGTTATTGCGTTCACACCGCTCCGGTCAAATTTTGACGGTCATGGTGTTCACATTGGGACGGTTAAATTTGCGACCCTACCGATTAAAAATTTGACCTCGAGTTTAGCGTTCCAATTGTTGAACGTATAAGCGTAGGCGTTCAAATTTTCGTACGGTTAGCTTAGAGTTCCGTGTGAACGAAACACCTAAACGTACGAATATTTGAGCGGTAGAAAATTTTTCCGGCACGGTGTGAACTCAGCCCCAGTCTCTTTGGCAGACTCTTACTCCTTGATAATAAAAATTTCACCTCATTATTCCTGCAAATTTCATAAACGCCAGACATTCTGGCGCCATCCTGTACATTAAAGCTTCTAAGAGCGCTGTGAAGAGGCTGTAGATTCATTTTTTCGCGGTAAAACTGGACAATTTTAAGATGATCCTGGTCCACTTGGGTTTCTTTATGTACTGAATCTCCTTGGGACCTCTTCATCTCTTGTAATCGACTTAACTATATTAGGCAAAAGAAGATAACGCGCTCTTCAGTTTTAAATATACTAAAGCTTGGAATTGTATATAATTTTTTGCTGTTGTTGTTTTATCAGAAAGTGAAAGATTAATTTTGAAAGCAGACAAGTGATAGGAGAGCTTGATTGTATCGTAGCCTTGGCAGTCTATGCAAAACAAAAAAAATTGAAAATGCAACCGTACGAAACTTAAAAAAATTAATCCAGCGTCGTAAGATTTTTGTTTGTTGTTTGTTTTTTAAGAACAGCATTGTTTTGCATCAAAACAAAAGTGTGATTCACACCATGATAATGTGATGCATATATAGCTTTCTCTTACAAAGCTGATTTGTCTTTATCTTTCTCTCCCTACTTCTTTTTAATTTTTTTTCTGCTCTTTTTCTTCACAAAAGAATAGTCTTGAACTATAAGACGAAAAAATCAAACCATGATATTGTAGAATGATTATTACCTTACACTCACATAGCTTTTAGCGGGTGCTGCTTTAAATTCCTTTGAAGTTTGGCTGATATTTCTTTCTTGGCTTTTCTTTCCTTTTATTTTAATTAAACGGAAGTAACATAGCAACAAGCTGACTCAACAATACTTTTGCCAGATCGCGCGCTCAGGAACGCACCCAGGAGATAAACGTCGGGGGTTTATAATTAATAATTTTAAGTGGTACCGCCCTCTATATTGGCCCGATTGATGGTGCACCTGCGTTCCATCGTTGGGATGAGGCTACAAACCGCACTCCCTCAAACACCTGAAGATCGAGCCTACGCTATATCAGTTATAAAAAGTCTTTGTAAATGTACTCGCCTATAGGAAATCCAATTTTTTGTGTATGGCAACGAATAGGTTACTGAAGCCGCGGGACGAGAAAGAACGAATGAAAAAAGGGAAATGTATAACAAAAGATGAAGCTTCGATCCGTAGCTTCGATTCCTGATTTCACTGGAAGCTACGTGGTTTCAGTATTTTTTTTGCAATTTCCGTTAAACCCGTAGAAAAAGATCCCTTTTAAACGCCCTCACTTATGAGACCCCAACAAATAACTCCTAACATACTTTAGTGCGTAGAATTTTATGTAATATTATATTAGGTGAACTAATGGAGTGGAATTCAAACGAAGGTTTCCACCCAGCCCTTCGTTCAGGCAGTTCTCAATTTAGTGTTTTGTAGAATACAATAGATCAAAGTCTATATACCAGCTGATAGTTCCTGCTGATTGAAAAAACGTTGCCGATTGAAGTTATAAACCATGAACGATGGAACCTCATGGATTTATTGGTAGAACTTTATTAGCATTGCAGATTTAACTTTCTTTTCAGAAAAGTTTACTTTTATATCGAAGCTTTTCGCGAAGATGGATTCGGTTTCCAAAAAAAAGTCAAACGGGGTCAGGCGACAAGCTCACAACTTTAACTGTACAGGGCACATCAGAGATCTCTACAGTTAAAGAGATTAGCTGCCATATTGCTAACGAACACTTTAAAATTATAAGATAGGACAACGGTAAGCCTTAAAAAAACCGAGACCCTATGGGAGAAGCTCGTGAAAATGTAAACTTGTATTGAAAGAACTTTGAATTTGCTAATGAACGTATATCTATAAATCTTTGAAACCTCATCGTTCATGGTTAATACGTTTTTAAGGGACAGCGTTTTTTCAGTCAGGTTTATTCAACTGCTGTGACGGGAGAGGAGGCGACTTATATAAATTAAAGTAAGTAGACGTAAACACAGTTAACTTAACACTTGTCCAAGGCAATCTTTATTTTTATTTGTTCACTTACATATTTCTTTACATAATTTGGACTGCAAAACAAAAAGCATTTAATCATTGTTTAGAAAAAAAAAGAGAGAGACTGGATAATGAAACTCTCTTGTAAAATCAATTTCAAGGATAGCAGATTTTCTGTTCCTGTCGGTCGGTTTGGAACACTATAGTCTTCACTGAGAGAAGTTTAGCTGAAAGAGAATAATAAAAATAATAATAAAGGGAAAAACTGAATTTAGCGTTAATAATATGAATAATTTAATGGGTCACACCATATAACTGGCCGTGGTTAAAACGCATTTAAAATTGATTTTCTTCTTTGAACTTGTTGAGTTGAAACCTACTTGATCGAGAAATAAACCTTTCACCAATAAAGCTGTTTCCTTTGTACAACGTCAGTGGGCTTGATCATATGGAGAGTGGTGGCTAGCCCAGTTTAGATGGAATACAATAATTTATTTTCTCATTTGAACACTTAAGCCCGGTTCATGGGACGAAAATTTTGTCTCCCTGTTTTAACTGCATTCTTCTCCGCTGCGGAAAGAAATTGATTTCGGTACATTAATTACGGCCTGTAATTTTGAGAGGTTATCGACAAAATAACTCCTGGATATCGAGTAAGTAAGAAATGACGAAATAATTTTACCGCTGTGGTAAAGAAAATCAAGAGCTTCTCTACATAAGTGCAGGCTATCAATTTCAGGCAATCAGTTTTACGTCGGCTCATTCATACGAAGAGGAGCTTGTTGTTTGATGAACACTCTGATGCAACAAGAAGGGCAAATATGTTCACTTTTCGCGTAACCTACAGCACAGGGGATGAGGTGCCATCATTTGAAATTTGTGAGTTCTGCCGTAATATAGATAAAATGCTAGGATACAATTTTTTCTCATACTTTTCTCACAGTTCACTTACCTGCAAATAAGTCGCACGGCAGGATTCAAATTTGTAGGTCTTGGATTTGCTTGATTT